TTCAAATAAAATAAATATTTAAGATTTAAAATTTAAAAATAGGGTTTAGGATTGGAAATAGGATTTAGGATTTAGGATTGGAAATAGGATTTAAGATTTAGGATTTAGGATTGAGAGTAGGGTTTAGAGTTTAGGCTTTAAAAATGGAATAGTATTTAGAATTTTAAAAGAATAGCAACTTTCTTAGGAGAGAAATATAAAGACTTTCAAAAGAGGTTTTTGCTCTTTTATGTTTTTGTTTTGTAAAGTTTTAATAAAGGAACTTATAAAAAATATGAAATATAAAGAAATTTATAAAATATTTTTGTTTTATTGAGTATTATATATGTTTTAAAATTTATAAGAAAACATGGTAATTAGTAGGAGCTAAAGCCCACTGTTTTCTTAAAGTAAATTCTTTCTCCATGAAAATATTTGAATGTTGTACTACTATAAAAGGAGTAACATGATTTGGTGTAGATGTTAAAGGAACTCCAATGATTTCTATATCTTCACTTTTTGCCAATCTTGTTGCTCCATATAATGGTAAATTGAAATAATGAATTGTAAGCATCAACTCCGTCAATTGATCTTACATTTGTACAATTGTATTTTTCATTATTGTAAGCTCTATTATGATAATACCAAAAAAAAGAAGACATCAAATATTACTCAAGACAAGTAAAAGAGAAGAATTAAGAATAAAAAAAATGCTCAAAATAATATCAATTTAAATAAGAATAATCTTCAACTTCTAATATGCTTATGTCTTATTAAAAAAAAAGAATAATCTATTCTTTATGAAGAAAAGAAAAAACTCTAATATTGTGACTATAATCTTGCCAATTTTTCAAAGACAAGAATTCAATAAATGCGAGTAATCAAGTAAGTCTTTTCTAAAAGAAAGATAACAAAGTGAAAATAAAGAAATATGTATATTCAAATAAAAAATTAGAATAGCTATTACCAAAAAATTAGAAAAAGTAGAAACCCTTCAAACTAGACTAAAAGCAAGAAAGGAGTTGAAGAGAGTAAAGAAGGCTTTATTCTTGTCTCCATGTATACTACCTAACTAAGAGCTATGTGGCAAAGTTCTATAGAACCTCTAACACATGTCTGATTTGTGAGACATATGTCTTGACTTATAATGCAAGTGATTTATATATGTGCCACATGGTTAGCTTGTATCATAAGCTATCAATACATGTGACATGTGGCTAACTTATTGGACAAGTGTTCAATCTATCAATCACTTGTTAATATGTATATAGGTGAGCTTATGTCTATCAAGCTTATAAGAAGCTTTTTTTATAAGATATTATCAAATCCATCTACTTTTACCTACGTATGTCTATTTATATTATCTAGATAATTATGAAAGTAAATATATGTATCCATGATATTTTATCTATTTATAAATCAAAAGAACATACCTTATTTGGATCTACTATTAGAAATTAGTAATTAATTAATAGTTATAAATATGAAGAGGATTAGAATGTGAGTGTTTACAACCATGATGCAAAAATGTAACTAGTTGTGATCTTTTTGCTAATCTTATACATGAATACTTTAATTTATTGACAATGTGATTTTAAACTATCTTATTTTATTAAAAAAATATCAAACTAATTTGTATTGTTTATTAAGATAAGTAACTTTAAAGAGACAAATGGCATAAGGTAATAGATTTTTTAACATTTAAACTATTGATGCTTCTTTACTTTATTAAATAATATAAATATTATTTTGTTACATAAAATAAAAACAAAATATTTATAATCTAAAATTTTTTTAAAATAAAAATAAAAATAAAACATATGAATATATATATATTATAAAATAACTTTTATATATATAGGAGATTTTAAATAATAAAACATTCAAATTTCCATCAAATTGATGTGGATTTATTTATTTATATTTATTAGTCAACTTATACTAATATTTAATTTAAATTAATTAAAAAAATATATTTTTTTATAATCATTTAATTCATTTTAAAATTCTATTGAAACTTTCAAAAGAATGACATCAAATAAAAAGTAATTTTGAACTTTTTATCAATTTTATTATTGCAAGAGAAGAAGTCATTTAATTTAAAACTATAATTTACTTTCAAACTAATTTTAATAATATTACTTGAATTTTATATTATATATTATAATTATTTCTATTTATTTTTAAAAATCTATCGGAATTGTTATATATTTAGTTATTTTATTATATATATATATATATATATATATATTAAACTAAAATTAATTTTTAATATATATTTTATTAATTATTTTATGTGAACAGAACCAAAATGATGTTAATTACTTTTTTAGGATGTTATTAATACTACTACAATGTGTTATCTATTCTATGCTATAAAAAAATTTAGTAATGCCTCCACAACCTACTTTAACTTATATTATTACTACAATATATTTTATTGATTACTAAAATAAAAATTCATAAAAATTGTAGACTCTATCCATTGTATTGTGCATTAGCAATATTCCATAAAGTGCATTGAGGTATCTAACATAAGTGTAGTATAGCTTGTGGTGGCATTAGCAAAACTTGTAATAGCATGTAGTAGATGGCAAGTTGTAGTGGCAATAAGAAAAATTGTAGTAACATTAGCAATACCTTTATTTTATGCATTGAAAAAAATTTCTTTTAATTGACCATTAAAAAATAATTATAATATATATAAAATCGTTTATTTTAATTAAATTTCTAAAATATATATATATATATATATATATATATAATGATTATTTTTTAATTCTTCAAAATTGACCAAGAGACATTTGCATGTGCAAATATATGATGGCCCATACACATAGAAATACACACACATATACACACATACACATACACATATATATATATATATATATATATATATATATATATCAAAAAATTATATTTTATTATAAATATTAGTAGTTAATTAAATTTATACTTATATAAATATTAAAATTGGTTATTATAAGTTTTAAATTATAGAATAATTATGCAATTAATGGAGTTGTATTTCTAATAAATTTTGTGCCTTTGGAAGTTGAATAAATAACTGGAATTACATAAAGTTTTATGAATTTTGATTATTAATATTAAGAGAATATTTTTACTTTGCTACTACTACACTATAAATAACTTCAAACTTATAATATAAAGTTGTATTATTAGCATAGGTGATAAATAATATTGTAGTAATATTATTAAGTGAGGTGAGATTGAAAATTGGAGTAATTGGATCTTAGGGTCTTAAATCTAAGTTGAATTGCATACAATGGCATTAAAACTCATATTACTTTAAAACTTAATATTATATTGAAACATTAACCAAGTTTTTATTTTGAAGAGAATTGCAAGACACAATATAAACAAGACATTCAAAAAAATCAAAAAAGTTGAATAGCATATTAATCTTTACTTATTAATACTAACTTCAAGATTAAAAAATTATTAATTAAACAAGAAAACAAAAAGCTAAAAAAAAAAATTACATGTTTTGATACTTTGTGCCAAATCAAGTTGTAAAATTGAATAGAGTCAAAACGTTCTGCCACTAAAGGTTTTGAAGTCCAAAAAAGTCCAAAACACATTTTAAATAAATAAAGAAAACGAGAAAGAAAATTACTAAATTAAAAAAGTATTTTACTCTGGCTTTGTCTCTAGGCATGCCCACTGTGAACATACTCAGGCTTTCAAGTCGGTGGTGCAAATCAACTATTCCTTTGGTAGTGATGCAATATATATATATATATATATATATGAATATACATGCACACACACACATACTGCAGGGGTGATGACTTCTATAAGCTGACAGAATCCAATGAAACCCATGTTTCCTTGTCTTGTTAAACTCAACACAGACCAGGAGTGAGAGATGATACGAAGACCCGTTTGCTCAAGTCCTCCAGAAGAATACACCCCAGCATCAACAATAACAACAAAAAGTAGCAGCAACTTGAGTAGTTGTGTAGATACTGATCCTCACAAATGGTCAGTCAGGCAGGCAGGCAGGCAGTAAGGCAAGAAAGCAAGCAAGCAAGCAAAGCAGGCTCAACAATCTGTGAACATTCCTAATCAACCACAAAGCCTGCGACTCATTCTTTTCTGCAGACTAGGATTAGGATCATCATGGCTCCGAACCAACATGAATGCACTATTACACCAACCTTCAATTTGCTGCAAGTAAAGCTGACTGTACTCCATCCCCTTGCCATGATTGAAAATGCTTTTATTCTAGTACGGCTGTTGGATTCCTCTTCAAACCCAGTTCAAAACTTGTAGCGAGCTATCCGGTTTGGCCTCTCTTTTCTCTCTTCTGTCAAGATGGTTTGTTGGCTTTGTCTACCAGGGTCCTCAGATTAGAACACAGAAAAGAAAGGAAATACATACATACAAGTTTGTGTATATGTATGTATGTGTGTATGTATGTATATCGAAGAATAAACTAAGCGAAACTGACAAGAGCTGTGTGTATGTGTGTGCGCACTTTTTTAGGAAGGTTAGAGGGTAATGGAGACAGACAAGGGCTGATGATTGGACTGGTGGGCTAGTAAGAGACGAATTTGCAGCGGAGGGTGGTACAGTTGCAAAGAGTACTTTGTCCAAGGACATAGATTTTCCCTCTTTACGCTGCCTAATGTTGCGGCACGCCATTGAAGACAGGCTCGTCTTCAAAGTGGTTGCGACTGTACCCTGACTTGGACATCTGGGTTTCACCCTTGCTCAATCCCTCTGGACATCTATCTCTGTTTTGAGGTATGAAATTTGCAGCGTCGCCCAAGTTTCGTATCACAGTCGTATCTGGATGCCTCGAGTACAGTATTGGAAGGTGAGTGTAAACATGTGGACCCTGGACACAGCCATGGGTTTACTACCTCAAGGATTGAAGACCCTGGTATTCCGTCGAGGTGGTTCTAGAGAGTAGTTGTGAGAGATGCATGAGTTTAACTACGACATGGAAGTACTAGAACCTTGTACAGGACTCGAATGATTGTGTGTCGAGGTAGTTGGAAAACAGTGTTCTCCCACAAGTTTTTGGGACGTTGCTGTAGGGGCCAGGTAACACGGCTGCATACATCTCATAACACACTCGTGTAAAGCTGAAATACATGGAATGAAGTTGTCAAAACTGTGAAAGTGTAAGAGTTCACGGGTCATAGACTAATTCGTAATTTCTACGAGTTCCAAAATGGAGCAGCCTAATCTCAAGAGATTGTCGGACGACGTTGTACAGATACTCTCGTGAGGCCAATTTATGAAAAAAACTGTTGGGGGAAATGAGAGGGGATTCATTTGCAGAAACTGGCAGACTTGAGTCTGAGAGGATACATGAAGGAATTGGCATACGTGAAGCGTAGAGTCTCGCCGCGCCGGAGGGGCTTGCCCCCATTCACGATACAGTCGTTGTAGCTGACGCGCTTGAAGCTGTTGGGGTTCACCAGCAGTGCGGACGCAAACCAGCCGCAGAACACATGAATATCTGACGGAGGGCAGTCCGACATGCAGTTGTTCATTATCTGCACAGCGTAGCGAGGTATGCCGGAAGAGCCATCGGGGCTCTGGAATATGCTGATGTCCTTGTTCGTGCACGCTGGTCCTGCACAGGCAGATAGTCATACATGTCCGACATCTTATGGTCAATTTTCTTAGAGCCCGTATGATGGCATTCTTTCTGTAAGCTACTCTAGGCTTGAAGACTACGTTGGACAGTCTATATTAGCCAGCTGAAGGACAATCAAGAAGTCTTCAGTCACTTACTGGCGACTAAAATCTGACGATCGGAGAATGCGCCTGGTCCGCGTCGCCTGCGTGGCTTGTTGGACGGCCACAACGTTGCTGATTGTTGAGAAGATGCTGATGACGAAGCAGTGGAGGAAGAAGTAGGTGAAGACGAAGACGAAGAAGAAGAAGATTCAGCTTCTAGCTTTAAGTTAAACACTGAACGCAGCGTGTACATCCTTGTCAACCCTGTATAAAGCACTGAATCAGCTCCGCATCAAGCACTGAATCGTGAATCTCTTTTTCGAACTAATCACTGTGTGAAGCTTTCAATAGCATTTCGTGAGATCCAGTTCAAATTAGCTAGCTCCCGTGATTGGACTCAAGCTTGTGAGAATCATTTCTAGGGCAACAAAGAAATCATTGTAAGTCAGAAGATGTACTGTTCCCATAGGTATCTGTCTCTTGTGCTTACCACGCTCTTTGAATTGTTGGTCCACGGACTTAATCCTCCTCAGGAACTCTTGTCGTTTCCTTGGAAAGTCAATAGATGCAGGAATCCAAACAATGCGGACGCTTTCATTCTCCTCATTCTCCTCATTAGAAGGATCAAGTTCCACGCTGGTCTCGAAACCTGCATAAATGCAAGTTTCAAGTAGATTGGTCGACTTCCAGTAAACTTGAGATATAGAACATTCCATCTCTGATCATCAGCAACGTCATACAATCTTTTAAAACAGATATTCAACAAGTCCTGCATGAGTACATTGGTCTCAATGAGATCCGACAGTAGTAGAATGCAGACACCCACCTGCGGGCAAGCTGTGTGAAAATGCAGAGATCGTGGTCACAAGCAGAAGCACAGTGCATATGGCCATGAGAGCGGAGATTCGCCACCTCCATAACCGGAAAGTCCCATTGCTCGGTGCTGAAGGTGACAAAGTGTCATCTTCCCGAGTCCCACACTGGGCAGAGAAGTGCAAGTGCGCCGGAGAAGCCCAAAATGGCATCCTGCGCCAATTTCTTCGTTAACATAAAAATTCTATTAAATCAGGTCATACTCAACCGGTGTAACACCTGCAGCATACACCTGCTTCATATCATTTTTATGTACTTGGACTACCTCAAGCAGGTATTCATCTACATATCTGTGAAGCTTGTTCAATTAACCCGTTTCTCCGATCTGAAAACAAAGGCTAGAAAATTTGGGGCAATGGTTTCGTATGCAGCGGGCTCCTCAACTTCCTTCACATACTAGAGGCTGTCTGTGTTCAGCACCGCTGAGGTTAAAACCAAGGCAATCTCTTTAGCAAATAATAGCGCCACAACCTATCCGGCCACCACGACCACCACAATCTGCAGCTTCTGAAACTGTCACAAAAGTTCACGAGACTTCGGCTGGCTCGCTCAAATGCAGATTCCCTTGTTCTAACTGTTCCCAAAACGCTGAATTGTTGCAAACCACAATGCTGAATTAGCTGCTAACGACTAGGGAATTTTCCAGCTTCTTCTTCCAATCTGCTCTACACCATGAAAGTGAGAACCTTAACCACTGCGGTCTTTCAAGCAGAGCTTGATCCCTGCACGACACTGCTGCATGAGCACGCGCCATCAAAACCTCTTGAGAAACCTCTTGATCCCATGTCGAATGCTGTTCAGGAAGTTAGAGCGACAGCCAGCTGACCATCTCTATTTGCACAACCGTTACTAACAGCAGCAGCTCCCCCTGGAAGAAGACTAAAAGAACATGGGAAGCCACTACGCTTCTTGCAATCGGAGGCTCTGCAATGGTGAGGTAGAGATGTAATATATCAGTCTGTTTTTTCCTGCATAACCTCCTAATTGGGATTTGGAAAATTTTCCGACACTGGTCACGAGCTTGGGGGAACGTTATATAACCCTCACCCTCCTGCTGCGGACTATGATGACTTCACCCGAGAAAGTGAGCGCGACAGCTTCCAGCTTCGCCAAGAAGCTGCTGCTGCTGCTGCTGCTTATAACTGCGGTTGCATGAGCAAGCTGCAGATCAACTTCCGCACAGGCATCAGCAACACCCACAACCACAACAACCGGAGATCAAGGTGGGAAAGGCGAAACTGACGTCAGGACTCGGCATAATGAAGAATGCAGAGCTTCCACCACCTTCTTTACTGCCTTGGCCAGCCCAGGCCCAGCCCAGCCCAGACCTGAGTCTCAATTATGTACCTCACAATACTGACGTAAAATCATTGCCCATAATTCCTAGGCTCACGACATGGCAGTCTCTGCGGCGTCCTCATGCACCACCAAAACTTGGTCTTCAGGTGTACATCATAATATATTTGTACTGTGTTGCGAGCCCTGGAACTCAGCTATTGCAAGCCTGGAGATCTAAGTAATGGTGTTTCCTGGGCGTGACGCTGGCACCAGTTCGAGGTCCCCCCACGACCAGCTAGGAAAAAATGATTCAATTACCTTAGACACGCGTGTAATCGTAGTTATGTAGATAATCGTTCCTTCAACACACTTGCTGGTCGTTTGTGTTGTTGCGATTAACCAGGTTATTACCTCCAGCAACCTCTGCATTGATGATGATGCAACCCTCAGCTGTTTTGGTAATCAATCTCCTTCAGCTCAAGGCTACACATCCAAGTTTACCGTCCTGGAATGATAGCGATCTGGACCTCCAAGTTCCAGGTTCCACCCAGTCTTGTCAGTCCTGCTTGAGTCCTCACTTCAGTTGCTTTTGGTCGGAACCCCATCCAGTACAGCCTCTGGTCTACTCATGGTTTCAATCGCGACCGTGCAATGAACCTCATGCGATAATATTCTGAAACCCAGCTCCAAACCCATCCTGACCTAAGTTTCAAGGCCCATTCAGACGAGCAGCAACACAACAACCTGTTGGGTGTCTTTCCATTGGTGGTACAGACTATTTAGCCTCTTGAGGGCTTCTGGAGACTTTTCTGCGTCCGAGAATCAAGCGGCTTGCACAAAATCGTCGCTGAATAAAAGCAAGAGCAGCATCCAAAACCCTATGAAACCCTAATAAGATTCTTTGTTGGATTCGCGTGGTTGCTGAACTGTCCCGACGAATCGGGCGGGTGATCGAGCACCCAATTGATAATCATTACTTTGCGAGGTTGTGGAAGACATCTTACGCAAATGATTTCACCTGCAAAACCTGCGGCAAAGGGAGCAGCCACGCCGCTCATGGTTTCCATGTTGCAGCCAAGAGGTGAATTGATTTCCAGCAGGCTCCAACGGCAGAGCCTTCTCCATAGTGTGAGGGATTCGGCCATGTATGTGGTGTTCTTCCAACTGCTTGATATCAGAGATTTAGAGACTACGTATGTGCGAATTCTTATCAATATTTCAGAACGAGTTAACCATCTGCGACTATTGAGGACTACATCCAAGGCAGGTCTGGATAGAAGAAGGCTCTATGAATATGGATTTCGGGCACCAAGAGATCATGGCAAGTTGTGATCTGCAAAAGCGGTTTCGGAAAACAAAATTGCTGTTAGGGTTGAAGTATTGTGGAGCAATGATGCCAAGGGAAAAACTCTAAATTCTGCAAGCATTGACTCGTAGGTCCCACTCGACGAGGGTGCCCTCAGTATTAACGTCAATACCGAGATTCCAACTCAGCAAGTTAGCATTCCTGCCTTCATTTAGAAACGGTTCCCGTTACATAGCCGAATTCCAATGTTTGTGTTTACACTAACTCTAATCTGCAAAGTACTAGGGAAATGGATTGAGCAGGAAAGCGTTGGAGAAGGCGAACAATGATTCGAAGCTGAAATCAATTCTGGGCGACGACAATCGGCAGGGTCCTTAGTACGAGGTCTCTATGGGAGTGGACCACGAACGTCACTCCACTGCGGTCCAGTTTCCTGTAAGCGGTAGCTTGGCAAATGCACACATCCATCTCCGAGCGGTCAGGTACGAAGGTAAGATGTCGTTGACATGATTTGCGAAGGAGAATGAACCTTAGAAACTGAACATCGAAAGAACTAACTCTTCACTCGGCAAATCCTGATTGATTACCATCGGAAGCGGCAGAATCCAATGGCTTTGGTCCCTTCTCGCTACCTGTCTCAGGGGAGTGGCATTTGGTGGTACTGGTGGGGCTTTGGTTCATAATCCGCATCCTGGAGGACCCAGTCACGAGGATAATCTCCAAAGAATTGATCTCTTCGAACGAGACGACGTTGCTAAATCGTTTGGAAAATAGATAAAGACATTGTTGTGACTTGGTGAAATGCAGCTGGACAGAGCAAAGGGAGCAGCTTCCTGCAACTTGCCATTCCATGGGAAGACTACCACCGTAATATCCTGGAGCGGTAATGAAGTTAAGGTTTAGATGACATCCAAACATTCTGCAGTCGAAAACCTGCTCAAAGAACTGACGGTATGTAGGATTATCATTTGACCTAGATCACCAGAAAGCAATTGACCTCTGGCGCCACAATGCGAATTGATTCAGCAGCTTACTCAAAAACCGAGCGTAGCCAGTTGCTATTACTGGCTTTGTCAGGGAACTAAGTAGCTTGCTACCAATTTCATCCGGAGAGTTGTTGATTCACGACGACAAAAAGTTAAGAAGTCAAGGCAGCTATGTAAAGCTCAAGTGGGTACACACAAATAAATCTATGATTATGAAATTGTGTTGCTAAGGATGCTAAAGTTCAGTTCCAATGACTTTCATTAAAATAATGGCCGTTTCGGCTGCCTTCACCACTTTGAAATCAGTCATCTGGCTGGACATATCCCTCCTGAACTTGTTCAATTTCCACATGCAAATATGCAAACTCTGTTGTCTTCAAACAAACATGAGCATGACTAGTAGATCGCCATGTGCATGAGAATACCAGTTTTACAATCTGTTCGGGAATCGACAATGATTACACAAGATAGAAAACTCTTTGATTCAGATGTATCAGTACCACCAAAGAAATAGCTTAAGCGGTGATTGATTCTTGAACGCGTGGGCCTCGTTAGACTATCCACTACGCTATCAAAACAGATAACATTGTTTGACACTTTGATGGAAGAAACGAACAAAAGACCAATGAAAGCTTACTAAACACAATGCCAGTTGTGTTTCACACATCCCAGCACGATATACTAGGGTTGGGATGTGGCAGACTCACAACCACCTTCAGCACGCCCAAAGGGTACAAAAGATCTCATAAACTGACATTATTTAAACTGTGCTTGCTAAGCAGTCTAAAATAAATCATTTAGAGGTAAACAGAAGTATGTTAGTAAGTTTGAAACATGGTTACTTAACTAAACCTGTCTAAGGAAAAAAAAGCAAAAAAAGAAACAAACAAACAAACTAGTAAAATATGAACGTAATTTTGTTTAAAAAATAAATAAATAAATGCAAATTATTGAACTAAAATAATAAACAGAGGAATTCAAGTAAAACGAGGCGCGATCTTCCTCCACAACATAATTTCATGACCACTGACCCAATTCAGTTGAGGAGAATTAAGAGAAATCTCGACTTGATCGAGACGTGGGACATTTGTGAATCACTTCCAAGTGGTTTTATCCAACACATATCCCCAATTAATGTGCTTTTCAAACAATGTAAAAAGATACGTCGTTGATGTTGAACCAGAAACAAACTCACCCAAAATAAGCTATTACAGCGATACCTTCACATATACTTTCAGTGTAGATTTCGTATTGTAAATGACCCGAAGGTGCTCCTGGTCACCATCAAAATGTGAAAATTCCCGACACTGGCCAACCAACCATGGTGTTGGATATGATAAAAGAACTTGCTACAATTTATAATTGTGAAAACAGCAGTAGTAGTACAAGAGCTCTCTTTCGTCGATGATCAAAGCTGCAGCAGACAAGAGGATTTCCTTAAACAGAGATGTGAAAAGAGTTAGCATAGTTGCAGAACCTAAAACTTGAGTCCCTGATTGTGGTCAAATGAATGCTGATTTTACACTCAAAGACAACCGAGGTAACGAAATGACGCCGAGCAGGAGTGCACCAAATTAAAATACATCGAAACTGCAGTGCAACATCGAAAACTCAACAAATCAATAGAATAAAAATAAATAAATAAATAAATAAAACATGCATGACCTTGAAAGGTTTCACCATCTGTAAAAAAGGAAGGACCTCCAATAGAAGGTGTCCTCATCATGCTATAACAGGAGAAGGTAATGTTCAGATCCACACATGCTCGTTGCTATGGTCAAATGATCTTCAACTGCAAAGATGGGAAACCTTCCAGACTTGGTTTGAATTCTTCCAAAGGAAATGGGGTTCAAAGAATGTATAAGCTTCGGCGGTAATACTAGATTCAGAATTGATAATTCTACACATCAGTTTACCTTCATATTCAACCAGAATGAAACTGACCTGACGAAAGGCCCACTTAAACTAAAGCACTGGACACACAAGCTGCAAATAACAAACCCTAACTAAGACTCAGCAGCAGAGAAGAACCATGTGAGCACACCTGGGTTCTCGAACAACCCACATCCACAACTATAATAGAAACCCATAAACCCATAAATCCTAAACACTAAACAGTAAGTCGTAAACCCTAAACACTAAATCTTAATCACAAATGACCTAAAAATGTGTGTACAGAGCTTATGTGCATAAAATCCTAATCAACTGGACCAACATTCGGAAGCTGCATTTCTTCAAAACTTGTTGTTGTTGTTTTCTGTGTTTAAAGAGGTCAATGATTACAATTCAACCTTGTAACATCTTGGCAAAGTCAATTATAAATAATCAAAATGTGTAGTTGATTATTTAAATCATGCACACAAATGCAATTTGATCATTTTTATTTTAATGAAATTAAGAAAACAGATTTAGATTTTTTTTCACAATGTTTTTATATAAAATTCAGTATTAAGACAAAATTATTCCTCAAGAAACATAATGTGCAAGTCAAATAAGAGATTCAGGTACAATCAATAGTGACAAATTAAAATCATGTTAATTTGTTATTTATCAAGTAAAGTAAATACATAAATATGCAATATTTTAACAGAGGCCACTCAAGATAATTGTGTGTTTTTACAAGTAATATGTATAATTAGATATATGATTTGTAAATGTACAATCCATGAAATGAATACAGTATCTATTAATTTTATAAAAAATATATATATGTATAATCTACAAAATCTCTAACATCCCAAAACCTAATGTGATACACATGCAAAACAACTATTTCTAAATTAACAATAAACAATCACAATATTAGAATTGCATTTAAAATCATTTAATCATTTAATTTATGTTTCAAAGTCTTTTTTGGTTTGTTACAACAACTCTTAGTTTAAAATATAATTATTGCTTCTTTCCTGCAAAAAAACCATATAATAATAAATATGCCAAGTACTTGAATTATTCTTGATAAAAATAAAAATAAAAAAATAAAAATCTTAAAATAAATGACCATTTCAATATTAAATGACTAAACAATTGTCTGAAGATCTAACTCATAGATCACATGTTAGAATGGTAGCAAACTTCAATAATAGAAAATTTGAAAAGACCACAATTTAGAAATGACAACAAAAAACTTTAAATATTTGTTTAGCAAAACATCTAATTTAAGATCCAAATCCTATAACAATTAAGTAAGCATAGAATATATGAATTGAATTTGGATACATATCAAAGATTATTGTGGATATATGAATGCAAAGATGTTACAAGGCTTATAAAATTGCCAAAATTTTGCAACAAATAAAGGTAAAAATAAAATAAAGTAAAATGTCACCTGGTGGCAAGATTTCTATACTGGGGCACTACAGGACAAGTCAAAGAAGTTGACAAGCTTTAAAGAAAGTTTTTAAAAAAATGTTGTTGAGTGGCAATTTTAAGCAATAATCAAATTTTCAAATACAAAATCAGCCACATTATTTGCAAAGAAATTTTAAATGTAGTTTAAATTACAAAAAAGTTGCCGCATTTGTAACAGGTTACAATAATTCTCTATCTATCTATCTATCTATCTATATATTTTCAAATAGTTTAGAAAAATACATTATAATATCAAGACATACTTATTCATCAATTCATAAGAGAGCTTTTAATATAAATACAAAAATAAAAAAAAGCATATCTTAGAAATATTATCTTAAAAGACTTTATCAATTGAGTTGCTAAGATTTATTGAATTTTGAGCCCCAACAAAATGAGTTATTAAAAGAACATGGAAAAAAAAAAAAAAAAAAAAAAAAAAAAAATGATGAACAAAAGAAGTTGTAACATAGAGAGAGTTATTATTCTTTGTAGATAAGTACAATATGTTCCTCATATTTTTCTTGGGTATCTCAAGCATCAAGCTTGCTTTTTGTATAATTATTGTAAGTTTGATTATGGCATCATCTTCAAAGTAGAGGTCAAATAATTATGTAAAGAAAATGATAAATTTAAAAACATTATCATCATGTCTTTCTTTTTTAAGTGGATTTTCCAAGCATGTGAATAGGTCCACAAATGTCTTCAACTTGTTGATATGATCCAATATTTAATCACCTAATGGTAGTATCCATATTTTAAATTTGTGCCAAAATAAGATGATATTAGATTTAGTCAAAGTGTGTGCCTATCTAAGAATCATATTTCATGTTTTTTCAAGTCTTTTAAATATATAAAATAGGATTAAAAACAATTCAATACAAAAGTTAAATCTATTATATTAAAAAGTTATATAAAGTTATATAAAGTTATTTTATTGATATATCAAGCAAATATATAAACTTTCATATTTAAATGTGTGGTAAATTTGCAATCCTATGAGTAAAAGTGAGATTACTTGTTTCTTCAATCTATTATTTTGTTGTAAAGAACAATACTTCTCTTTTCATTTATTTGATTGACTATTGACTTGTTTTGAAAAATATGTTTGAAATTGAAAAAAAATTGCCTTTAAAAACAAAGGGTTTATCACCAATGTAAGCACAAATTATAATTTGAAAGGATAATCTTAAAAGAAAAACTAAAAGATTAAAAAATAAAATGAGGTAGATTGAATGCATTTTGTTTTTTTCTTAGAAAAAAAATCAAACATAATTGTGAAAAAATTGGATCCTAAAAACTTTATTAAATGACTAAAATACCATGGAAAATCGTAACATATATATATATATATATATATATATATACACACACACACATATATATACATAGTGTGGAAAATCTTAAATTATGAAAAGCAAAAATTTACAAAAAGTAAATAATGGGTAAAGAGGATATCTATCTATATATATATATATATATACTGACAATTCAATCACTATTCTTTTTATTTCAAGATTGAGATTGTAAATAATCCAAGAATTAATATATGATATTTTAAAGTAAATATTTACAAAACTAGTCAATGCTTCTTTTTTAATCCTCAAAGTTAATCTAACTCTAAAGAGCTTTTGGAGAATATATACAAAATATTTCGAATATTTCGTATATATCTTTATTCTAAATTTATGCACAGTTAAAAAAGTGTTTTTCGTGCACCATCACCAACCATCATTAATTTTCATCAAGTTTTAAACAATATTCCGTGTAGTTCAAATATCTTACAATCTTGCCAATTAATACTCTACATTGAGTTTTGAGTTGCAAAATATTTCAAATTTCTTCATGGTACTAAAAATACATAATAAAGACTTAATTTTTTATAACTTAACTTTTGTTAAGTTCTATGTGTATATGTATGTGTATATATATATATATATATATATATACCCACACACACGCATTAAGCAAAAAAAATCATCAAAACCAGTATAATGATGAAGGATACAACTTTTCATACATTCATTTATTTACTTTATTTATTTATAGATCAATCAAGTTTATTTTACTTGATAAACTTGCACATGTGAATGTTTTACACCTTCCAAATTGAAGGACTAATTCATTTTTTGTGAAAATTTTCAATTTATTCAATCAAGTATTAATGAACACCAACGACTCTCTCACCATTTTAATCAATCTTTCAGACTTCCATGCAAGCACAGAGCCTCTCATAAACTGTTTTGAGCAACAAATGCTTCTCCAAACCTCAAATCAACACCTCCTAAATTGTTGGTTGCCTACATGTAACAGAAATTGCAACAAAAAGAAAAACTATCTCCAAATCACAAAATGTGATAAAAAAAAAAAAAAAAAAAAAAAAACTTCACAGTCACAAAATTGTAACAAATTCATGATCCACTCCCCAACAATCTCCAACAACAACATTGACATGACTCTACAAATCTTTTTGAAACTCACCAAAACATTTTTACAGCAAACTGAAGCAGAAAGGAGGAAGAAATTACAACGGTAAAAGAACACAACACTTGGAATGAAATAATACTCAACTCAATGTGTGTTTTCCTTAGACTTCTACAACCTGCATTGCTGCAACTCGTATGTGTTGCAGAATCAGCGTTTGGCAAGCATGGCTCAGATTGTGGGAGTTCCTGTGAAAGTGAATGTGAATGTTGTGCATGTTTTCCATAAGAATTGTGAGGCCTGAGGGAGGTTTCACTTGCATTACCGACTGTCTTCACTAGCAAGCTGCTGCCGACGCTCCCATGGCTATGCCCCACCTGTGTGCACAGGTTTACAGCAGCTTACCTCGCAGCAGGTGGAGGTGGAAGTTTTTGGAGGTTGGCTTCAAGGATGTCTTCAAGGAAAGATGTTCTCTTTGCATCAGTTGCCATTACGGCTCTAAGTTGGAAGTTCGCCCTGCCTTGGGTGGACATTCTGTGCAAGGCTCCGAGTTCTGTGAGGCGTTGCAAGGATTTATATGTGCAAGTATCGTTTGTTGATTGTTTTTTTGTAGTGTGCGTCATGGTGTCTATGATTCCTTCTTTGCTATGCTGGGAGAGCGTTTTGGTACATTCCTTGGAGGAGCCTTTTTTTTTTTTTTTTTTTTTTTTTTTGGTCTTTGGAAAGTGGTTGTGGCGTGTGTTCGCTGCGTGTGTTACCAGCCGTTTCGTGCAAAGTTGTAGGTGCCTCCCCAGGTTTAGGGTTTCAGATGTGTCTGCTCCAGCAAGGAGCACTGAATTATAGTGCTTCATTGTTTGTTTTTTTATATGTCTGTTCCAATTTGGATTTTCATCTTAATTTTTTCCCTTCCCTCAACGAGCTTTGTTTCTTCGTAGTCAAGAGCAAGATATTGAAGAGGGGCTCACCATGTGGAAAAGTTGAGTGGATGATTTGATACAACGGTGTGGGAGGAATGCACATATTTGGTCACACACGAGCTGTTACTCCATCTTTCATATGCCTTGGACAAGAAATGGGTGCGGGGGCTAAACCTACCTGATGTTTTCTTCTCTCTGCGACCAGCAATGCAGAACCAAAATGTTCGCTGTCAATGAGCTTTGATATTATTGGTATTGTGGACAAGTGAGGAGTCCTGTGTTAGATTATCATATCAACAAACATATTTCTATTCGCACCGTTCCTCTCCTCTTCCCCCTCGTCGTATTTCCTTGGGTCAAGAAGAGGGCTAAATCGTAAGACCGAGAAGTGTAAGAACCGTCGAATGAGATAATGGAGGCTTATCCTTCTGCAATAGGAAGTGTGGGAAGAACGTGGGGATGTGGACGTCTTAGATGTAATGAGACCTCAAACAAAAGTGCGCCGGCACAACTGGATGGCTTGGAAAGTCGCGATCTTCACCTGTGAATGGTAGCTTCAGGCCAAAGGGTGCGATGCAAACAACATACTTGTCAAGAGCTTTGCAAATTAGGGCATTGTCCACTTTGCACGGAAACTATATTTGCAGAGCTGACTTGCGCATGTGGCCGAATCTCTAAACCCTTACCGCTTTTTGGAGCTCAATTACCAGGTTTAGAGTATTTTATCTTCGCATGCAGATTCAAAATGGAAGTATCTTTTGAATTGCAATCCCGTAAAGTATCAGACAACACTTTCGAGGTCCAGAAAATGCAGTGTAGTCAAGTAGCTATCTTAAGGTAGCTATCTTCAGTTATGTTTGGCTAAAGATTGATTGTCCTTCTTTGTTGCATCATTGAATTATTTACAAAGATTGAGTTAATCATTAGTAATTAGACTTATGAACTTTGTATTTTAGTTGCTGTTTAAATGCGCACGTCAAATATATTGTGTGCATTAATACATCATTAATACATCATTGTATGTGCAGTCTTGTAGTCCACGAAGCAACCCATCGCTGTCATTTTGGAGACTCTTCGTCCTGCACGGCGACTATTCCAAACGAAGGTGTCGGTGATAATGCAGTGCTTCGTGGAGTTTCGTGTAGCATTTGGATGGCTGGTGTGGAGAGGGGAGGGGGTGTATCAAATGGCTAAATGATAGGGGATGATAATGAATTTAGTTGGTCAGGAGCCTCTAGTATTTGCTTCTGTCCATGTCAAATCCAAACTGTCGGTAATATCATCCATGCCAAAGACGCTTGCTTTGGCGTGACTGGACCAGTCTTTGCTCTTTCATTTAACCCATAAGTGATCATAGAGTCTAGTCGTGTAGTTGGGGTCCCTGATCTCCCGCGAGATTCATATGTGAGCTCTTTCGTATTACGTTTTGCCAGTTAGTGTATTTGTCGCTGAGTGAAGTAAATGTATTAGCCAGCTTTGCGGATACTGCTCGAGCCGCTCCAGCTCCAACTACCAGTGAAGACAAGTTCCTCCACTTGCGGTGGAGCTTTTGGGAACATAGATCTCATGAACAGCAGGATCAAAAGAATACTTTATAAAGATGAGTTGAGGATGCTTGGGATGATCAAGTAGGAGCTAGTCATCAGGCTGAAGCTTGATAAACCATAGTTTTCCCTATTTGAATTTTTCAGAATCCTGAGGACGCATGTAAATGTGATAGTTCTGTTTTGAGCAGCGGGCCTGCAGAAAGAAGCACGACACAGAAGAGTTCTTTGAAACATGTAATTGGCGTTGTTGAGACAGGTAATGTAATCGGTTCATTAGCTTTTCATATCTGTTAGACTGGTCAGTCAAACAGGAACATCAAGTGAATAAGATTCATCTCCAGGTCCTTTATTATTCTCAGCTTTGTTACCTGATGGTGAGGACGACGACTGGGAGAAGCTGGATGCTTTGTAAGAAAGTAGCGTGGTGAGCGAGAAATCACCTTTTTCTTTTTACAACTTGAACATTTATTTCCTGATATCCTTGATGTGATGAACACCACTGTGACCTTGGATTTTTGAGCTCAATTTTCAAAACATTGTCTTCAATCAAGAATTTTGTAACGTTCGTTTGGGTGACAAGAGTACGCCGATTTTTTTACCGGTGCTTCAATCGATGAAGTTAGTCACATTTCGCAGTCAGTATTGCTATTTGTTCATGCAATGCTCTCTCCTGGTCTGGTGCATGTAGACATGAGTGTCTTCTGGTGTGCGTTACATCAACTTCACAGCACATGAAACTTGATACAGTAACACCAACTGGAGTTTAGGTTGTGTCACACTGCCACCGCCAGCCTAAGATTTAGGCTCAAATTTTGGTGGTAGACGTTTCAGTGCTCAAAATAGCGCAGTAGGGGGCCCAACTTCGGAGCCTATCTTTGAAATTCGAAATGACTGTCCCCTCATTTGCAGTTTCCGGAACTTTCCATGTAAGGACAAGCCCGCATTATCATCGACCAAGGACTGAGCAACAGTGGGACTTCGTCTGCCGGTCTTGTTGCTCCTCGCGCATTGGCTGCCTCCATTCTTCAAGGGAGCTGATGTCGTCCTTGAAGATTTGTTTTGATTATCTCTGTTCAAGAATTCGGGGAAGCTGTTTTACATCTGTGTCGCGGCGGCTGGTGCTACCATGTACAGGAGATAAGGGGCCACTTGGTGAAATGTATAGCTACCGACACAGTGACCGAGTCGGGGTTTTCGATACTGTAAAAGATTCCAAGAGAGGAGTGCGCTTCCAGTGATTAAAATAGAGGACGACCTTTTCCTTTACCCTGGAAGTAGCGCCAGATCGGAACCAAAGGGAATCAGACGCGCATTCGCAAGAACTCCCCCGGCATCACACCGGAACCGGCCTTTCACCAATTCACTGACCCATTCTTGACTGCTTCTACCGAAGCAATCTAGTGGAGAGATCAGTGAAGTGTGCTCACAAGGTCTCCTAAGGGACATCCTCTGCTTAGAATTTGACAAGAAACACAGGGATGGTCAGGAGATTGCCATGTCGACCCCATTGATGGCGCCTAATTTTTTGGCTCCCATCATTATCCGCATTCTTGGAATTCGATCCAGTGATGGCGTGGGAGAATTCGCAGCCTTTGAAAAAGCAGCAGATTCTGGATACGTACAGGGCTTGCTTCCCTTGTTGCAATGCAAAGTCAAGCTAGCACTTCACTTTACACTGAACCCAAAACGGACTTGTGCAACATACTTCTCCACAAATTACTCAGCCCCTACTTTCATTTCCACGGCGAGATTCCAGGCTTTAAGCCCCCCATACATGCCCCACAGACTATCAACTCTTCAAATCTAGACTCAACAATCTGAAAGGCGCAAGAGCCGCGCTACTGAACTTACACTCTCAAGCCCGCAATTTGGCAGGATGGGTAAGTCTCATCCTCGGAAACCGAATTCCATTGTTTGACTGAGCGTGAACCTTGAAGAGCCACACACACACACACCAGATTAATCTTCACCAAACTCTCAGATTGATCTGGTAATTAATTTGCTCTGTTTTCCTTTACTACCTACGATGACAAGGTCTTGCTGAGCTCCTGAGTTCCTTTGATTTGTCACCATAACCCAGACATCATTTGTTGCCTGAACTCGAAGTGTGGGCTCTCTAGTAGTGCCATCAACTGATTGATGCTATGATGCTAGTATTCAATAACAAATCTGCTTGGGATTGAAACAAGTCAGGTGTACTGATATATCAGTCAGCATAACTGTGAAGGTCATCTTATGCCAGACTGGAAGTCGAAGTGAAGCAGTCATACTGTGGTCCCACAACATACATCTCTACCAATCAACGCAATGAATTTCGTGACAAGCTCCGATTTTGCACACCATCTGTGATATCTTTCAACGACCTCGGTGTTTGTTCTCAAGGTTAATTTATCAACGTTTTGCCAGGACCCAGCTCCATTCACAAGCCAGTTTCCGACAATGATGCAGAGATTCAGGAGCAAGCACTTAAAAAAAAAACCTCAAGTGAGACTGGCCACTGAAATGACTTCAATCTCAAGTTATGCAATTATGGAATGCATAGCTAGAATTTGAACACATAGCTAAGCATTGAATTCTTTCATTCTGTTATTTCTCTGAGCTCCAGTGTGAAAATATTTTATGAATTGTGGCTGTGTGAATACTCTGTGCTAATTTCGATACTTTCGTGCTGGAGCCAAAACGGACATAAGCAGTTTGTGTTTTGCTGTTCCTTGTGGGGAGTCATGTCGCCTCTAATATTGGAGAGCCATAGAAAAGTCGGCTTAAAGATAGCAAGTGAAGAGATTGGCGCATCATTTGGCTCCTGATTATTGTCTCTATTGCCCCACCAACCAATGTTGGAGTAATCTCGTCCCTCTATTTCTTTGACGGTGAAGTGCCCTTTCCGTGACTCTGCATCCATCGAAGTTTGTACCTCTCTGGGCTATGAATCTCAGACTGATGAGGATCAGTCGTAGACGTCCTTTACCCAAAACCCCAGAGTGCCACTGCCACCCAAAGCTGGGTAATCTAATCAGTTACCTTTCACCACGCACATGTGAATCGAAGAGTGAGCTACACTGGGCATTCTAAAATTCTCTACACTATTACTGTTAAAGCGCTATCAATGCGCCTCCCTTCACATTCGAGATATCTCGAATTGAAAGTGCTCAGGTCGTAACAGTTTATTCTACCCTTTGAATGACTGTGAAAGTAAGTTTTCGATAAATGTCTGCAACGAACAAAGCAGCATTCGGGTGTCCTAGGGTAGCACAGCGATAGCTGGACTCTAGGGCACAGGGACAACAATGTTTGACGCAGAGGGACATCTGATTCCATCGGCGGTGTATACAGCTGCTTATGTACCGCAATACATTAGTTAAAAAGCTGCTGTTTCCACAGTGCTCACCTTGCACCTAGTCAACCCAAGGATACGTCAGTGCAGGTCAGAGGGGGCCAAAGGAGGTGGGAATCTTCAGCTCTAAGCAGTTTCAGTTTTCGTGGTGAGATAAGTCACAGTGCCGTGGTGAGCGAGTTTGTACAATTCAATAATGTTGCTGTTGTGGTGAAGATGAAAGGGAGGTTTCACCAGGGAGGGCGGAAGGAGAGAGGGATGCTGAGAATTTGTCAAGGTTAGTGAAGTGTCAACACAACCTTGAAAACAAACAACAGCAGCCTGCATGTAACTCATGCTGTACTGGTAGCTCCTCATGATCTGGTCGTGTGTCATGCCCTCCGTCTGGGTCTCGAGAATTCTCGGGAAAATTCAAACAGGTAACCATCCAATACAACAAACGCGTTACATCGTCGTCGGAAATCCTGCCTCCATCTCCCGTTGACATGCTACTGTGCATCCTACTGTGTATTACTTATCACCCAAGCAACCCCCTGATAGCTTCTTCGTTACATCTCCAGGCTGAGAACTACGCCACAGTAAAATATTTTACACTTCGATGCGGTGAGGAGGACTGCTTTGGGAAGAGGGATTGACACAGGCTGTAAAAAGAAGCCGCGCACAGGAGAAAGATCACACTGCGGCAACCAAGAACCCATACAAAAGTTAAAAGCACCGACTTGCCGCCAGTGTGGGCCCAAGCAGTCAAATACTTTTCATAGTTAAGTCGAAGGTCCACCAAAGGCTGCTTCGGAGATCCCCTTGAAGAGCTTGGATTTAGAATTTTGGAGCTGTAAATGGTTGTACCTTTATACCCATGTCAGGCTTTGGAAGATTGTGGGGGGAGTAACTGCACATGGCATTCCCTGCTGCTGGATCTGGCCTTTTCTGATGCGCCTTCTACTTACTAGGTGCTCAAAGCTAATTTTCAGTAGTTTTCCGCAATAAATAAAGCATCCCGGGTGTCAGTTCACAGAGTCCTTGCCAGTACCTTTCCCGATATTGTCGGAAAGCTCACATTGTCAAAGCATGGGACCTTCTGGAGCTTTTGACGCCACTATGATAAAGAAAATTATAAAAATCTCGATGCTTAGGGGGGTGACGACGACGGCTTTATAATTTTGTGATGAGTGGGAATGGCGAGCGACATTTAGGTCGTATCATGTTTCCCGAGAGAGCCGGATTTGGAACATAGGGCGGAAAGGGAGAAAAGTTATAGAGCGGGAGAGAGTGAGAAAGAGTGAGAGAGAGAGAGAGAGAGAGAGGAGAGGGGGAGACGCGGACGGAAAGGCAGGAAGGAAGGAAGGAAGGGAGACAAGTGAAGGAATGAATGAAGTGGATGAACGAGCGGAGAGTCTACAGGGGAATTCGTGAGAGGTGAATCTGAGGCACTGCGCCGGTCGATGACGATATTATTCTGCATGCGGAGACAGCATCAAGGTTTTGGCAGCTGCCATTGGACAGGGGCACGGGAGATTGGCAACGTCGACACACACAGGCAGGCCGGAGTCGTTACCTGCGCCGCGAACGAGACCGTTCGTTATTAATTTTCATGCCCATTTTGTGATTTCCTGTTCACCCTGCTGCTGATATGCTGCTGATATGTAAGCGGTCATCAGCTGCGAAGAATCTGCGTGGAGCGCGTATCAAATCTGTTATCCATACCCGGCTTGTTGCTGCTGAGCCCGTCAGATTGCATTATGCCCATTCCGTGTAACTCATTCGCTCCGGTTGCGTGCGCGGGGGCGACCATGCAGGGCACATGCTGTTTAATGCAAGAGTTGACTTGATCTCGCGCTTTCAGCCCTCATCTGAATTTTTTTTTTTCTTCATGGTGGTCTACCATGGAAGGCAATCACACCTGTAGGATTGAGTCTTAGACCTGTTTCAGACACTATCTGACCGGCCCCCACCTCGTTTTTATTGCGTCTAGCCCTAAATTTTAGGAAGTTCGACACTGCCAGGTAGACGCACTTGGTGCGATGTGCCAGCTTAAGTGTTGAAGGTGAGGCTTAAGCAGCACTCCCAGTCCGATCCCCCTGGCTGTCCAACTCTGTAGTCGGAGGACTAGCACAATCAGAACGGTGTTTGGACTATGTAAAATGTCAATCGAAGGGACGTCTTCTTGAAGAGCCGCAATTGCGAGGACTTGGTAATAATTGTTTTGCTTCGTGTCCACGCTGTGAGACACTCCAGGGGTAGCTGAAAGTGTTCGATTGAGTGTGTTCGGAACAGGAAACGTCACGATAGCTGTCCTTGAAGCCTCTATTGTAGTTGCAGTTCTAGTGGTCAGACTCTGAATTGGTTCCTAGGAGGAATGTCTTAATTGGAGATTCAATTGGTGGGTCTTATCCTTACAAACTCCCTGTAAGCAGCCGTCTCCTTCTCTGAGAGCTTGCAGCTTCTACGTTGACGTCTCTTTTATCGGCCACTTCGGCCAATTTCGTATCCATCTGTCCAGCTTTTTTGATACATTTCGTCGTCAGAAGTTGTGCGTAGCTTTGCAGCTTCTCATTGCCACTGTGTTTACTTAAAGCTGCCTTTGAATTCGGATTGCGTCTTACAGTGGGAAGTGAAATGGTGAGTGGCGGCGACAACAGAACAATTTTGAAGCCCCGCAATGACGACCGCACATACAAACAAGTGGTTCTTTCCAATGGGCTTCAGGTTTTGCTCGTCAGTGATCCAGACACAGATAAGGTTTGTTTAGTCTCTTGGTTAATGTCTCAATGCTCTTTCTTCTTCTTTTTGTTGTTTAAGTCGTACCAAGTCGAGGACGAGAAGTATCTTTTTCGTTCCTGGCCTTTAGGAACTAGTACCGTTACAAATTGTAGGTTTGCTTCACTTTTAAAGATATTCTCACTGCATGGTCGCAATAATTGCTAATTGTAATGCATCTCACATCTTGGCTTGTGTGGGAAGACGTTTGAGCCTTTAATTAGTTGAAAGGTGTTGTGGCCAATGTCTGTGAGGCACTAGTATGTATTGATGGTTGGGTTAATTGCGACCTTCTGTGCGGACCTTGCAGGCAGCTGCAGCCATGGATATACATGTGGGGTCATATAGTGATCCGGAGGGATTACAGGGCTTGGCTCACTTTCTAGGTATGCGTCATATCTGTCCGGGGAGGTTTTGAACTGCTCAATGCACGACCTGAAGCTCCCAATCTCAGCTCCAGTCCTTGCTTTTACACCATGGATTCAGTCACTCGTTTTGTACGTGGCAAGTGGCTCGTTAGCGGTGTTAGTGTAGGCTAGTAGGATGCTTGCTTGAGCTGGAAAAGATCATAATGTAAATGACCACGCTCTGGTGGCTGCAGAGCACATGCTGTTTTATGCAAGCGTGAAGTATCCCAAGGAGGGGATGTACAAAAAGTTTCTCAGCGAGGTAAAACCTTGCGCTACTGTCGTATTTTGGACCTTTGTTGTTGAAACTTAATGCGAAAGCACTTTGTAAGTTAAGATTAGTGGCGGAACTGAGTGAATTTTCGACCAGAGCGGGCAGGAGTTGCATATTTGAAAGATCAGAATGTTAGCTTTTGAGAAATTCTCTAATTGCCGGTGTCTGATGCTAGATGTGTACGACCTTACTGAATTATCGTGCATGATGCTTGTTCCTGCAGCATGGAGGGTATGCCAATGCTTACACCGGGCATCAGCATACCAATTACCATTTCGATGTCAATGCCGGTCATTTGGAGGAAGCATTAGACAGGTGATTATTGAGTGCAGAATTAATTGCCTGTGAGTTCGTCATTTTTGTGTAAGAGGATAATTTTTCTTGTTATTCAATCAGAATGCGTAGCTTAATTGATAATTTTAACTCTCATGTAACCTACATTTGTGAATTGGTGTTCAATTAGGTTTGCTCAGTTCTTTATATGTCCGCTGCTTTCTCCGGAGGCAACCTCAAGGGAGATTCATGCTGTTGACTCTGGTACAAACTTTCCCTGATTTCTATGTGCCTTAATGCTTCCTTTGAATGTCTGGAGTTGCAAGACTACTTGTTCCTATCTCAGTTTGAAGGATGAGGCAAATAAATTACTCAGTTACTTTACTCGCCTCTTTAATTATAACGCCGTTTTGTTTCCTTGATACATTATTTTACATGCTTTGAATTCTTAGAGTTTATAACTTAAGAAAGTTAATCCTCACTTGTTTACCAGTCCAAGTAGATACTTTGCAGTCTCGCCTGCCACCGTACTGATGTGTAGGCCAATGGATATCGATTCTTTTCAGAGAACAGCAAGAACCTCTTATCAGATTCATGGCGTCTATGTCAGGTTAGAATGAGCTCACAAACTAAGAAAATATTTCACCAATAAAGTGTTTTTGTCAAAAAATTAATAAATTAATAAACCATGTAAATGTTTAGAACAATAACAGCTACTATCCATACATTGCCACTCAATTCTATTGTTAGAGTTTTTTTAATGTATGAACGAGGAACCTGAACTATCTGCTCATATTAATATATTTGCAGCTTCAAAAGCATTTCAGTTCCAAGGATCATCCTTATCACAAGTACGAAACAGGTAACTTGTCATCAACTGAAGCTTCCTCTAACATTACCACCTGATATCACAGCAACTTCAGTGCAATGGGAAGGTAATCACAGTGCTATACGTGCTCAGTCAAGTAAACGTGGGGCTCACTGGGCCTTGTTGCATGATTGCAGGTAACAAGATAACTCTCCATACGAGACCAAATGCAAGAGGTATAGATATTCGAGAAGAACTGCTCCGCTTCTACAACAAACAGTACTCTGCTGGACTGATGTGTCTCACAGTTTATGGAAAAGGTAATTCCTTTATGACATTTTATTCTGCTCTTTAACCAGTTTTAAGCTCTTCCCGTGAGGAAAACCCCCAATGATGTAGGCGTATAATCCAGTTTTATTCTACATGTTTCGCAGAACCGGTGACTAAGCTTGAGAATATAGTGCGAAAAAAATTCTCTCAAATTAAAAACAACAACATAGAAGCTCCTAGATTCCCTGGTCAGCCATGTCTTCCAGAGCATTTGAAGATAATGGTAAAGAGCTTTCCAGTGAGGGATCAAAATGTATTGGCGGTCACATGGCCGGTTATACCCAGCATAAGGCAGTATAAGAAGGGTGCATCACAGTACGTCCAACACTTTCTTGAGAGTGAAGCCCAAGGGTCATTAATCGCACTCCTCAAAAAACTGGGTAAGCATCCTTGATCCTCAAGTTAGTAGTTTATGATTTCAATATGAGCCGGATTTGTTGATTTTAAGGCAAGTTGATATCTATTCCAATTATTTTTGTCTGTTTTGCGTCAAGGAATTAAAATGTAAAACAACCTGTTTCCTTGCAGGCTGGGCCAATAGTTTATCTGCAAGTGAAGATGGAACCTTGGACTACGCTTTCTTCAGCATCTACATGGAGCTTACTAATGCAGGTCAAGGTATGTATAGACACTATCCATTCAGAGGGAGTTGATGAAAAGTAATCTATTCTTTTGTCAGTTTAGAAACCATTGTAGAGAACACTAACGTATACCGCGGCTGTACAGAAAACGTACAAGAAGTCCTGAACTTTTTGTTTCAGTACATCAAACTCTTGCAGCAGCAGGGAATCGTGGCCTGGATATTCGATGAGGTATTATTTTATCTCGTGAATATAGTTGCTCCTTACAGCATCCTACATAGTCATGCTTCTGCTCAAATGTATACAACCAATTTCTTCATCTCCTCTGAGCTACTTGTCTCTTGGAATTTGGTGTGGGTTCAGAAACGTGTAATGAATTCAACATGGTTCAATTTTAAAGACAAAGCAGATCCTATCGAGTATGTTGTTGGCCTCTCCGACTCCATGCAGGTACTCTTACCACCTGAGCTCTTGGGAAGTACTCAGTTCGACTGAACTTCAATAAGAAAACAGGAAATCTAATGTCTCCTTATGCTTCATTGAAGTCCCTTGGATTTGGCTGACATTGGAAGTCTGGACACTGAGTGTGCAGAATTACCCAGTAGAAGACTGGCTAGCAACAGACGCGTTGTTCTCAGACTATGATTTATCAGCAATCTCTGCACTTGCACATCAGCTGCAGCCTCAGAAAGTCAGGTCTGATACCATAAGACTTAGCATGACCTTCCTTATTCTGCTCTTACTTGAAATGATGATGCACTACTTGAAGCTAGCATTGTACACATTTGAAGTATTTTTTTCATTTTTTATTTTTTACTATACAGGATTTTCTGCTCTTCAAAGGCTTACGAGATGGAAGCCACCGACGTTGAGCCTTGGTATGGCACACCCTTCAGTGTTGAAAAGATTGACGACCTTGTTATCAAGGTACCCACCGACCCAATTAATGTTTGCCTTCTTTTCCTTGCAGTGTGATTCAGATTCTTGTCCTCTACAGCGATTTCAAATCACTTTTTAATTATTCTGATGCGTTTACAGCGATGGGGAGAGTCTCACGTAGATGCAAGGCTACACCTTCCATCACCAAATATTTTCCTGCCCACTGATTTCAGCATTAAGGTTCCAGAAGAAGAGGTAAGGGTATTTTTGAGTTTCATGTTTGATACCTTACTCCTATGCGTACGATTGTACTTGCATCGAAACGCGGATAGTACCCATGCTATAGTACACGATAATTTTTTCAGGTCTATGGACCGAAACCCTTGTGTCTTTCATAAACAGTGTATATTAGCTATTTCAGAACTTGTATTGTATTTCAAATGTAGCACCTAGTTACTGACTCTTTTTTTTCACTTCAGAAGGGACACCCAATCGTTATACGGAAGTCAAGTTTTTCGAAGTTGTGGTACAAGCGTGGAACCGAATTCAAAACCCCCAAGGCCTACGTGTACTTAAGTTTTAATTGCCCCGAATCAAATAATTCTCCAGAGGCCACGATACTTACGTATATCTTTACCTGGCTTCTGGCTGACGAAATGGCTGAGTATGGTAAGTGCACAATATGTTCATGCTTGTTTTGTTCACATTGTTTCAACCGCCTCAAATAGACGAGATTTTAAGAATGTATTATGTGTCGTTCTGAATTCAATTTTGCAGCCACACATCACGTTTTTAAGTTGCTTGCTGATGTCATCGGTCGTTGCCTGCATCTGCAGCCTATTACACTGGTTTAGCTGGGCTCCATTACAGTGTTCACGCCAGTAAAGATGGACTCGAGGTACATCCTCTTCATCACCTAGTTCTCACTGTGATGATACCTTATAATATGTCAGAAAAATTCTACTGCAATAAATTTGTTCTGAAACCTTAACTTCTTCAGTTACAAGTTTTCACTAAAACCTTACTGCGGTGTTCAGGTTGTGGTTGAAGGCTACCATGATAAGTTGATGTCTTTGACGGAGAAGCTTGTGGAAAAAATAGTGAATTTCCAGATGAAGGAGGATCGTTTTGCATTTGTGAAAGTAAGATATATTTGCCATTTACTTTGAGTGGGAAAGTTTTTAAATTCACGAATGCAAATTGGGATGGTGTACAAATCAGATTTCACTTGTACATTGGTTGGAGAGATCTCTTCCTAACACAGCAGTGATTTTCCCTTAATTTCCTGCAGGAGAAGGTGGTGAGGAACTACGCAAACATGCGGTTCATGCAACCTCATGGGCAGGCACACTACGAAATCAATCATATCCTGTCCCATGGGGCATGGCATTTAACTGAATGTCTGGATGTGCTTCCGTCAATTGACGCCCAGGCTTTCACAGTATTCTTTCCTCGACTTCTCTCTCGAATGTTTGTTGAGGCTCTCGTCGGAGGTTTATTTCTCACACAGATGCCACTATAAAATTAGTTTGATAATTGAGCGGAGCAAATGTTTATTTTTAGATTAGTGCTGAAGCTTTTGAACTATTGCTGATGTGTGTAAGACATCCATTATATTTTTTAAAAATTCCTCCTATTTTTTGAAGAACCTGAAGTTCATCAATGTCTTCGGTGTAGGTAATGTCACACGAAGCGAGGCCACAACCCTCATGCAGCATGTAGAGGAGACACTCTCAAAGGGGCCATTGGTAAGCATTCGAGCACCTTCGTTCTCCCAAATGCCTGAGAGAAGGATCATGTGCTTGGAGGCTGGCACAGAATGGCTATACCCGACTGCAGGATTTAACCCAGACGACGAGAATTCCGCTGTTGGCATCTTCTTCCAGGTACACTTGGACACATTGAATCAACGCATTAAGTTTGCCTTGCTTGCGAAAATTTTCCATATGCCTGTATTCGGAACTAAATGAGATAATATTTTCCACAGGCTGAAAGAGACTGCTCTAGGTCGAATGTGTTGCTTGAGCTTTTCACCATGACGGCCAAAGAGCAACACTTCAACCAACTTCGAACAGTGGAGCAACTTGGCTATTTCGTAGATCTTTATGAGAAGTACGTACGAGTTGTAAAATTTTAATCAGTTAGAAGGCAGATCAGCCATGTGAATCAAAACTTGTGCCTTCTACTCTGGTTTTCAGAGCTTGTGAATGCTGCTTGCTGGATGAAATAGAAAAACCAGCATTCACGTTAATCATTTTTCTAATAAGGTCAATACCACTTTCAATTTTCAGACATTATGAGAACATTCGAGGGGTGCAAATTACAATTCAGTCCACGATAAAGGTGAGCTCATAAGATGACCTCGACTTTGACTTCAATTCCGAAGATTCATCCATTACGGATTTGCTCAGACTTATCTGATATCAAGGATTTCTTTGTTTGTTTTTGCCGCGGTTAGGATCCTACACATCTGGATCAAAGGACAGAAGCTTTTTTTCTTATGTTCGAAAGGGAACTCCAGAAGATGACTGATGAGGATTTCAAGGTAACTTGCGCATGCCGCTCTACGGTTCTTAATTTGAATACAACAAAGCGGAGTAAATATATGATGCTCTTAATGGTCTTTGATCTTTATGTTAGTCTGGCCTTTTCGTGTTTCACAACACTAACTTATATCTATCCGGCATTTCTTAAGGATCAAGATGCTGTTTGTTTACCCTTCATATGGTTGTGCAGAATCATGCAGCAGTTTTACTGGATGTGAAGATGGAAAAGTACAAAAACCTATGGGAAGAAAGTGATTTTTACTGGAGGGAAATCAACGGAGGATCGCTACAATTCGACAGAAGTGACATGGAGGTACTGATCATTGGTTTAATGTTCTAAATTTTATGTAACTTCGATTTCAAAGTTCCTATTTTATACTTTCCCATGCCACACGATAACACTCAATTTGGTAGCGTAGTTAGCATATTTAGGCCAATATATGAGATACTAGCCCAAATATATTTATCAGCGCAATATGACTATCATGAGAATATTCTCTGTTCCTGCACTTTGCTCAAATCAGGTTCAGGCCCTGAAAGAGTTGAAGAAGGAAGATCTGATTGCCTTCTTCAACCAAAAGATTCGATGTAACGGCTCCGAACGCAAAAAGCTGAGCGTGCATGTGTTTGGCAACCAACATCATCGGCAACTTGCCATAGCGAAAGGCGAGGTAACAGTTCCCGCAAGCTACGGCAATGGTGTAAGTAATGGCCACGGTACAAGCAATGGCCATCATCTCACAAGTAATGGAACTGCTCCGGTAACAACGATGGCGGACGCAGACTCATGCAAACATCTTCCCACAGGGCAGGAAGTAATCGAATTCCCCTTGAAGCCTGACAATTTACAACACATTTCCAGTACTTTGAATGGTCATAGTGATCAGAGCGGAAGGACGCCCATTCGCATTGACAATGTACAAGTATTCAAAAGGTCGCAATCCTTTTACTGCTCTCCCAAGGTCGCTCTCTGAACAAACCAGCTAGTGACAATGTGCTCCAGTAAAGCCAGTGACAATGTGTGATGGAGAATTATGAGTTAAGCTGTACATTCATTCTTTTTTAGATAACTTCAGCAAATCGCCCGGCTGCGGGCACATGTGCAGATCTGCCATAAACGGTACTAGAGTCTACCCTCCATGGCAAGCAACATTTTTTTACCTTGTAACATAATTTTTTAAATCATACTTCGAGAGTGTATCATATATTCACACTGATTCTCGTGTTCAACCCATTCGTTTGATTCTTGCACTTTCTTGCTGTCTAGTTGATCATTCTCTGGTCACCTCATGGAAAATGTAAATCGATGAACTCACAAATTTGACCCTACAGAGTTGGTGAGATCCTCTCCCAATATTTAAATGCAAACATAACATTTTTTGTACTCAAACATAATTGTAAATGGGTGCTGTCTGACACGATAATTAATGTAGCGCTGTAACTCAAGTCGTCCAGGCCCAATTCATAGTCATCGTCTGCAAACAACTTCTCGTCCTGCTCACTTATACCTGCACTTTCCCAGTTTGACCTCCCTTGATCCTGCCGCATTACAACTGTCAGTTCTGCTCTGGGCCTGCAGCATGTTAGTAATTCATATCCGAGGCGCTCTTTCCAGAACGATTCAGTTACATGAAATGTTATGGCAAGTTTTAGAGAGATCTACATTGTTGACATGTACAACGTCTTGCCTACCTGTGGTGTAAGATTTTCGTGAGCAGGGAACAATGCCAAAAGGATCGAGAGAGAATTCTTGGTACTATCAAACTTTTTAGAGTTTTGGGTTCTGTTCACAATCTGCAAGTATTAACGTAATAAGAAGTCAACCTGCTTGACACTACAACAAACGAAAGACAACTATATATGTATGCACAATTTTTGTAGGGGATCACACGTGATGGGAACTTACTTCCCAAGAAAAACATGCTTCGAGAAGAGTCTCATCTGATCTCAAATCAAGCACCACCAACACTTCGCCTGAAAATTTACATATAAATGTAAAATTAGAGCAAAGATTAATGCCAACCTTGTTATATTGGAATATGATGAATCTCAATTTGTGAACTTAAAGGTCAACTTCAAATATCAGCAGCAATTGTTCATTAGAGACATACCATCCCCAGCTGCATTAATATCTGCTTGAGTAGCACCGTCAGGTGATTTGAAGTCATTGATGACCTGAACGAACAACCAATCCAGATACAGCCTGAGAATAGTTCTTGATAGTTGACGCCCAAAGACAAAATTACTGTTGGCTTAAACTGTAACGCATAACGCATTGCTGAAACAATAGATCAAAACATATTCAAACCTTGAGGTGGGTCAATGCCTCTATCATGCAACTTGATGAATTGTTTAAAAAACGCCCGTAAATTTTCACCTTCATGTCTTGCAATCCATCTGTGACCAGCAAAAGAGCCTTCCCCAGCTTTTTGAAAATCCAAGATTTGAGCTTGTGTCATTGACTTAACTTCCTTAGCAACAAGTTCCATAGCCTTCCCTGGCTTTTTTTTCCAACTCACTGAACGTAAGCACCATCCGCATTAATGTGTCGATCCAGATACCTTTCTCGTCAGTCAAACGTACTGCAGTCGGCTTATAAAAAAGTTAAACAACATCCACTTATTCACCGTCACCAACCAAAGCTAACTCGATCATTCCTGTAATCAGGCTCTGCTCGCAAGGATGCGTACTTCAGGAGATCGTTACAAGACACTGCATCCCCTACATTGAGTTCCTCTCGTACATACTGTCGGCAATACATCAAACATTAGATTTACAAAATTTACTAATCATTCTGGTGAAGATGATTAGATCGGTAGACACATAGCATTCACTATTTGTTAGGTAAGCAAAGGATTCATGGAACAAACGAACTTTCTTAACGAGCACTACGAGGGTGAAAGTACCATTCCAAGGGAACCCGTGATATCATCGTGGAAATCGGTGTCTGAATGAACAACGACCATCTCCCTGCTCAAATAATGTTGATTCATTCAGATTTATATTTCTTTGAGGAATAACATTACAAGTCACATGTCACGTGGCAACGCCCATATAAATTCAACTGAAAGGAGCAGAGTTTTGAGGGGCTTATTGTGGCGTTCCCAAATGTTCCGAAGTAGATCAATGACAGACATCATTCAGGTGACGCTCTGCTCTATACGACAGTCAGTCTGCACCCACGAAAAAACAAGAAGGCCACTCAACTTTTTCAACCGCACCGTGGGTACTGGGCCTACCTTTTCAAACTTCAAGATGCTAACACTCGAGCAATACAGAAACTACTGTGCCATAGCTTGTACTGCTGTGCCATAGCTTTTTGAAACTAATGAAATTCCAAATTCTTTGACTAAAAAGATCCGCCTTTTATTTGTTGTCTTGAGGTTCGTTTTGATATTGCAGGTACAGGTTGCAATTGACGGCCAAGGGGAGTATGAGGTGGAGGAAGGAAAACTTTTTCTTCTCAGTTGCTGATCACCATGTTGCTAAAGCAGTTTGAGGTTACTATGCCATAGGGATGGCACCTTGATATTTGTTCAGCATGATTTTTAGCTGTAGCTTTAATCATTGAATATAGTTTTTCGCCACCAAGTTTTTCGATAATTATTTACTAATTCCAAATTTCTATTTCTGTAAAAGCATGGAGTTCGTATTATGGTATCTTTCATTGCCTCGCATGTATCCATCAGGTTTCGAGATGATCAAGAGACCGGAAGTGTTTATGCCCATCTCACTGATCTTCAGTCATTAGAGCAGTTGAGACTATCAGCAGTGGTGAAGAAAAAATGCTAATCTGAGACTACACTTGAACGAAACGTGGTTCTGCGTTCGAGGTATAATGCCGATGTAACCCTTACTTTATTTCACAACTTAAATGCAGTTCCATAGTGGAATTTTTGGAAAATAAATGTGTGGTGCGGTCATCAAGTTGTTCACCTTACTGAAGTTTCAACTAGTTCAAGTTGGGGTTATTTGTCACGTGATTGATCTCACTCTCAATGCAGAGATGGTATACACCATTGATTGACAATGGTCAACATCGATATCAATTCAGAAAGGTCTATTCTTGTGCTCCAATGTCAAGCTGTGCTTTGATGCAATTAGAAGCTTTCACTATCTCATCCGGAGGAATCAACAACCGCTTCGATATTACTCTGAGTGAGCATGTTCCTGCTCGTATATTTCGTTTGAGTGATTACAAAGTTTCAAATCACTGATTAGCCGCACAGAATGCCTTGAAAATGTATTCGGAACAGTCCTCTACAAAAGCATCACAAAATCTGCTTTGAAATATTCAATCCTCTCTAGTGATGCACCAATCTGCGGACACCCGAGAACATCAAATATTGTAAAATGTGTAACAATGGTGTTCATCGCAGGTTTCGGGGGATGTGTGACAGAGCATTCAGACTATTCCAAAATTCAATTAAATGAATTCTTATTATTATTGTTATGCTCTTTCTGTGATGAACTAGTGAATGTAATTGTTTAAAATTAGTAGCAAGATGAGGATTTTTTTGGTGATAATTATAATTTTGTATTGGCAAAAAATAAAATAATAACCACACAAGTGTAATTATTTACAAAGGGCTCTATTAGTCACCACCATAGTTATTTTACATTGTAGAAGCTTTATGACTGGCAGTTTTATGAAGTGCAGGTTGCTGATACCATGCAAAGAATAAACTATAAGTATCAACCTGGTATTTCTTGTATTGTGAATATTAAAAAGAAAAAGTATAGCATCCAAAATGTACATCTTCAAATTTTTATAATTAATTGTTTTTACATTACTTAGTAAATATGTCTCAATTGGTGTAATTTTAGATTTCATTACAAATGATATCATATGTTTGTAATAAACATGGATAGATTTGGTTGTGACTTTGTATACATTACAAAATTAAATATATGCTTGATTGTCATTGGAAATATCTTTGCACTCGAATTTAAAAGGCCACAAACATTGCTTTGTTTTACTATGGCTATTAGGTGAAAGAGAGAGAAAAAAATATTATATTATATAAAGCTTATTTCAAAACATAATAGCAAATTATCTTAAAAGCATAGATAATAGTTAAGGAGGTAGTAAAATTAATTAGTACTAATTATCTTTTTACAAAAAAGATTTTTACTTACTTTGTAGAGCCATAAATAAGGCAAAATAATGTAAATTAGCATATATAGTATTACAAGCATCTTTAGATAGAAATAAAGAATAGAAATTAGAAAAAATTAATTAGATTAATCTTAGATTAATATCCATGGAGGACCAATTATGAACTATAGTCAAAATCAGATCTTGAGATACAAAACCACATACTTACAACAAATGGGAATTTCTTTTGTTGATTGAAATATGGCTTTTAAGAAAAAACTTAATAGAGTTTCTATGAGAATTGATTTTGAAGGATTTTAGTGCATATTGAGTTTGTAGGAGCTTTGCAAAATCAAGGTTGATTTGAATAACTTTATTTTGTATTAAATAAAAATATATATTTTGCTTTGGTAAATTTTATGGATTTTTTACCAAATCTATGGGTGAAATTTAGTAGATTTAAGAACATATTTTTTCTCAATGTGTATTGTGAATTTGAGCTCAACTAAAAGGTCAAATCAAATGTAAGTGAGGTCCAAGTGAGTTGAGATCTCAAAAAACTAGGTTTTGAAGATCACTAAAGGTTTTTTAGTTTTTGAAGAATTTGAAACTTGAATAGAAATCATTTCTATTTGTTTCAATAATTGATTAATTTTTTATATTATTCCAAATTTTTAAATAAAGTTAAAAATTTAACAAAAAGATGTTGAGACTTGAAGTTTAACTTTGAAGTTGGAGAAGAAAGATGACTGATATTTAAGCAAATTAAGAACATTTTCTCCTAATTTGTATTTTAGATCATTTTCAAACTTTATGTGATTAATTTCAACTAGTAAATTGAATTTTTTAAATAAAGATCAATAGTTAAGATAATATTTACTAAAGTTTAAAATGTATTGTAGTATTTATTTAGGATTTGACTAGGATATGTTACAATTTAGTTGAAGTTTGATTAGGATTTTAAAGATTTTTTAGGATTCTATTAGATTTTAATTAAGGTTTAATTACCATTCTATTAATATTTATTTAGAATTTCTTGAATATTATTTTAGGGTTTTTTAGGATTTTTTGTTATTTTTTAAGTTTTTTTTTATTTATTTTTAAATCTTTAAGATTTCTTTTGATTTCTTTAAGGTTCAAGTAGGATTTTCTTTTAGGATTATTTAAGATTTATTTGAGGTTGAATATAGTATAATAAGATTTTTTGAGGTTTTTAAAGATTGCCAAGGTGATTCTAAATATCTTATGCATAATTTTTTTGGCTTGTAAATCCAACTTGAAGGTAAGATCATACCTTTCTATAGCCAAATATTTCATGCATTCCTAAGCTAATTTTTATACAATAAAATAATGTATCTTTGAACTAATTATAAATATAAACTACTTTCTAAATTAATATAATTTTTTATTTTTTAATCCATATTAAGTCTTCGAAATCTTCTTCTAAAGTTAAACTATATATATTTTGGCTAAAGCTTGTAGTTAGTATTGAATTTGTTTCAAAGTAAATTCTTACAATTTGTCAACTTTAATATAAAAGAAATTATTTGGAATTAGTACTTATAGATCAATATTTAACAAAAGATCTAAAAATCTAAAAATGACTTAAAGTAATCAACAAGCTTTTTCCAAATAAAAGTAAAGTTAAAAAATAAATTTTTGACCTACTAGATTTTAGACCTATTTACGTCTAAAGTATCAAAATTTGGACTTCAAACCAATTGAACTATGTCTTTGTTTCTTCTTGTAGTAATGTATCTTATTAATTTTAATAGTTTATCAACCAATTGATTAATGTGACTTATAAAAATCTCATTTCTATTTTTGTTAAAGCCTCAATTTTATCAATTATCTTGTATTTGTCCATTGTCATTAAAACATGAATTTGTTCTTATTTAATAATAATATAGGAATTAAAAACAACAGACCTAGCACTTATGTTGGCCAATAAAAATAATATCAAATTTATTTTTGTCATAATCTTGATCAATATCTCCTAACTTTGTAGTTCTAAATCATAATGCAATATTCAATGGAAATTATGAGTCTTAAGAACATGTGAAGTTATCTTCATTTTATTCAAACAAAAAATTACAAATACAATTATATTCAACTAATATAAAAAAAAATCATAACAAAAACATTAAAGATTAAATATAGGAGATTCTTAATAGAGCAAGCAAGTATGATTATGTACCTTCTCATCCTTGGCATAACTAGAGCCAAGCACACATAAGCTTGCTTGGCTTGGCTTCATCTACAATTTCTTGTCTTGTGCTTGTTGAAAGCTCCTTGTCTCTTTGTTTCTATGCATACTTACATGTTATGATACTATTCTTGTTGGTGCAAGTAGCAATGTGACTAGAATATGTCATAGATATTTTTATTTGACTTTGTAATCAATAGGTGTATAATTTGACCTACTTTAATTAATTGAGATGATCCTATATTTTTTAAAGCTCTATATAAAAGTTTTTTTGTATAGGTATTGGAATTACTTATGGCATTTAAATTAGAATAGTTCTTCAAAGCTCTGAATGTATTTTGTATGCCTTGTGATCATGTATCTTTGTTTAATGTTGGTAATGATTGAATATATTATGCTGCATTGAGAATCATTGAATTTAATTGAACTAACCATGATGCAAAAAAACATTCAAGCAATTCAAGTATCAAAACATAAAAAGTCACAAATAAAGTGTTGCACACGTATTACAATGTAACATATGCAAAATGAATATTAAAATAGTTAAGCATGTAAAATCCAATAACACTTTTATGTTTGTAGTCCCATTTTTTGTAAAATGATTTCTTTTCTTGACCATTTACAATGTAAAAATGTCATTTGGGAAGCCACATTATATTCTGTATTTACAATAAATTATCACGTCAGCTGACAATTCATTTATATAAAAATCTTTTTTCGATGTTCCATAAAATGTAGCACAAATTCAAGTTTGTGGCCCAACTTGTGTCAAAAACCATGTACAAAAACAATATTCCAAGGAATTGCCTACAAATGACGCCAGGATATGCCGGCAGAATGAATGCTCAGAACTGTTGAATTTCGACGATGGCAAACACCATGGCAGACAGTGTATCTAGCAAACCTAAAATTTGAAAAATGCTCAAAGATCAAACTATGAATTGCTACTAAACTGGTTTACTAGTTATATAAATCTCAGCATATCTCAGCGCCTATAAAACAGTTGACTGATCACTTAACTGTTCGGTAGCCACAAAGTTGCCCACTTTGCCTGCATGGTCGCAGAAGCTTGGGGAAACTGGGAAACCTCAACAATGCTGCCTTCGGCGCAGGAAGCTCTTCCTGTCAACGGTGTTGAGAACTCATGCTTCTGGTATACAAGAATGCCACTGAAGATTCATTGGAATAAACAGCCGAAATGCTTTACTAGCGTAGGAGGTTCACCTGGGGCTTCATTGACGACTCATCCCAATCACTATCTGATAAGCTATAAAATGGAAACTTTACATAAATGATGATTGCATCCTGCATCATCAACACTCAACAAGTTTTGTTCTGGGATTGGGAATTCCGTTTGTGCAAATAGGTGTGAATGTATCAGTCCAAAGGTAGGAAAAAGTCGATGAAGATTTGACTCGAAAGGCCCCCTTCGTAACTTAGTGCTATTCAGCCACATAAAGCAACTGAGAATGCCTGAGGTTAGTCAATGCTCAGCGGACATGGGAGAATCTAAGGGACCAGATCTGAAATCAGTTATCTCAGAGCTGGGGGGATGAAATACATCAGGATGACCCCAGAAATGGGCAGCCAAGCCATAAGCAACTAGAATCAGAACCCAAAGGCAAGGAACTAGGGCCGCGAGCTGAATGTGGGCTACGGCTTCCCCTCTAACTTCAAACGAGTCTCCAATACACACAATCTCATCCCTTACATCTGAACACCCATCTGGCATGAGTGGACCATAGAGAGTGAACGCAATCATGTAGAACCAGGCGCCTTGCAAAGTAAGCGCAATTCCACTGAGCATGTCAGCGGCGAAATTCTCCGGGTACGCTGCTGATAGGAGTGCACATACGATGCATAAACCTATAAGCAGAACCAGGATTTCATGGTATCTGCCTTCCAAGCCATGGTGGTTTGTGGAATGAAAATAGAAAAGAAGGAACTCCGCTGTAAAAGCCATAGCTGCAACAACAAAGAGCGACCCTTCTGGAAGAGGCAACCACCTGTTTGGAACAAGCCTAAATTAATTACTGATGCATTTTCTTCAACATAGAAGTACAGAACAAGACACACACTCAGAAAATTGAAAATATATCAGCTAAGAGTATCGTACGTCGTGCTGTGAATTTCAACCACCCCAAAACGATTAAATTACTTCACAACCTAAGTTAGTTCAATGATTTCTGTGAAATGCGTTGGTCAAATTATTCATATGCCAACCGCATAAGTCAAGAAATACAGCCTAAAATAATCTTAAATCCGCGCGTTCATTTAAAAACAATACACTAAACAGACCTTGTGAGACATGCGATACTATTCCTGAGAGAACCAACTAATCAGAGCGACTGCGCTATGAGATAGTGTCAATAAAACGAAAATCCAGACAAAAGGGAAACTTTTAGATTCTATAAAACCCTGCAAGGTACTCAGTGCACTACAATTAGTTTCGTGTCAAACTGTAGATCTATTTTCGGAGAACGTAAGCTAACAAGAAAGCCGAGGAACCTGTACATACTCAACCCTCAAGCATCACCTTCAAATGCAAAAGGTAGCTAACCAAGACCACAATCGGGATAAAATTAAATCTCCTGTTAGGGATGTGTCCACAGCTGTTAGTTTCTAACCGGCGTCGCAAAAACGATGGTGAAGACGGGAATGAGAAGGGCGGAGTGACATACCTAGTGTTTTCACTAATCAAGACAACGATGACGAAGAGGAAAAACATAAGAAGCATGGCGGCATGCTCGAAATCATTCAGATGATTGGTGTTGATGGCGCCATTGACTGTAAACTTCAAATGAGTAGAATAAAAAAACTCGATGCACATATCGGTGAAGGTACCCACCAGGAGAATGTACAGCTCTAGGCAGCGAGTTTTGCCACTGAAGCAACGAACCGGATGCCACACGCGGGCGCGAAATGCCTTGGGATTCTCGACATAGTTGGTGATGGAGTTCAACGTGTGCCACAACCCTACCAACAAAAACATGGAACCGGGCAGCACATGGCCCTTGAATGACCCCATCTCGATCGTAATACAAGTACGCTGATTCGCAAGAAGAAGTTTGCTAATATTTGCATTTGCAAAGTCGGGATCCAGCGGAAGGAAAATATGGCGCAGAAGACAGAGTAGAAGGAGGAGAATCTGTCAAGGGAAGAAGAGTAGATGGGACGAAGGAAGGAATGCAGGGCGGAAGGGGGAGGTGTAGATGAATGAATATTTCCATCCAAAAACGCGCTTTCATCTCTCCTTTCTTTCCTTTTCCGGCTTCGTTTCAAATAGAATAATGTGTCTATTATAAAAATCCTCTAATATATATATATATATATATATATACATATACATAACAATAAAAATAAAATTATATGTATATGGGGGAATATTAAATGGACCCAAGTTTTTATTAAATTGAACCATCATCCTAACCATCATAAAAATAATAATAAAAATAATGATTTCTAGATTCATTTCTCCATTATTAAATCTATAACCAATAAAACCAACCACATTTTTCATGATTATCATATTTTATTTGTGTTATTAAGTACTATCAATAATATTCCATGATTATATTGTTACACAACTTCACCTCTAAGATTTTTGCTTCAAAACTTTTGTTTAAGTTTTTTTTTATATTTCCCATACAAAAATCTGCATTAAATTCAATTGTAGTTATCCAAACTTTAATCAAAATTTTCTTCCGTATTTCTTTAATCTATAAATTATTCTCATCATATTCAAAGTTACTAGTGTTTTTTGAGCAAGATGAGATAATCATTGCTTTTAATATTTATCCAATGAAGTGGGCTCTACAACATGTCTTTATAAGTACAAGTCTTTATCATATTGTTTTAGACAAATTTTCTTATATATTTATAATCCAAATATAAAAGTACCAAAATCTTTAAAAATTCATTGCATATTTACCAAAAACTAATGATTTCTTGTCAAATCTATTAAAAATTAACTTATGTAAAAAACTACAACATAACATAGATTTTTAAATAATATTTTTAATTATATTCTTTAACTACTAGAATGTTATATTGCATGGAAAGTACAACCATGGCTTTTTATTGCTTGTGTAATAAACTACTCAATTATTTCTCCATATAAAACTTTTGCATACAGAATTCTTTATGTATCATTGTAAACTTCCCATTCCATGAAGTGGTTTCTAAATACTTTTAATCATAGGAGCACCTCCTATCTCTTATTTTTCTAAAAATATAAGACTTTATTTATATAGCTATTAATTGTACCAACTTTACAGTTATCACATCACCCATATCTCTTCTAATTGTTCTAAATTAGAAGATGAAAAAATATAATAAAGTATACATAATAAAGTATATATAAAATATAAATAAATCAACATATCAACAAACTTAAGTCACTTTTTTCAAATCTAAGTAGTAGAAACCTATCCTATTGAATTATTATATTAAAATAAAATAGATAAATACATAAAAAATCAATATAATTTGTGGTGAGAACCAAGACCATCATCCTCTACAAACATAATCTTCACTTCTTTCCAATGTTTTGAAGATTGAAAAAAGAAATAAATTAAAATATTAAAATCACAACCATTAAAATCATTTTCCCAAGTTGAAGGATTGTAAATATTTTACCGGAGATCACACTTTTACCTGCAGTGACATATTAAATTGGTTGTATGGTAAGCAACTGCATGTAAATACACTTAAACCACCCCTGCACAATATCCAACTTCGACGATAAACCATTGGCATAACTAAATCGATTTGTATGCAAAAATCATAATGAAAATAACAATGAGCAGCACCGTTCTGGATGCTCATATCCTGTCCGTTAAAGACTCTGCTTAAGTCCAAATTGGGGTGTAGATCTATGAAGAATCTATGAATGGTCTCAAAGACCACCCACTCTATTCATTTAAGGAAGAATCCATTTACATTTCTAATCCACTATCGTACTAAAGCTCTTTTGTCAACATTAATGAATGGCGTACACTATCTCCTTATGAACTAGAGCTTCCAAGTTCCGTCTCATCCTGCATCCGACGTACTACCATAAGATGGGTCGACCTCTGGACGGTGCATTCTTAGTTTGAAGTATGGTCCACCCCTACACGACAAGAATGCACGGTTCACACGTAGAGCCCCTTAAGTTTTTACCCAGTCGTGACCACAGAAAGCTCCCATGGAACTTGGACAATTGATGCACAGCCAAGTTAAAAAAAATTCGGCCGTGGCTGGAATCAACATCCGTTAGCTACCTAAACTCTCCATGCAAGTCTGAAACTTGGATGGGATGAACCGATCAAATTTAGACATCTTAAGTTCATGTACTAAGAGAATCCAAAATTAGATTTTTTGCGGCTTCCACCCTCTCCATACTTGTCATTCCATTGACGCAGCTCATTCATACTTGATGCATCGAATGAAATTGATGCCCCAATCTGTAAGAGATCCCAAGCATAAAACATCAGAGAATGATGAAAGGTAATAGATAGCAACAGCTGCATAATGATTGACGAAATCTAACATCAATGCATTCCCCTAAACAACATCCATGACATTCTTATGCGTAACCAGATTCCTTGTACAAAACCAAACAAAATTTCAGTATGCTTCTGTATCGAGTGAAGTATGACAACACACACCAGAGGAAAAAAAAACACGTCCATATCAAGAAAAGCATCACTAACCTCATGTATTCTATCGTTTTTAATCATAGATCAAGGTCTCATAGACAAACACTTTTCAGTATGTACCTGTTTTAATGACTCCTGGAAGTCGTCTAACCGCAGTGCACGTAAGGATGTATTAACCGCCTCTGGATACAGTGTGCCTCCACTTTCACTGGATCCCAGTATCTGCCAAGCAGTCATTCCAGTTGAAGAGCTGAAGAAGATATCAAACATATGCGATTAACTAAGCAGAAAAAATCCAATGAACTATTTTGATGCACAATACTACTAATAGCAGCTGCTTAACATGTAGAACATAAAAATGCAAGAGAATCCTCGGACGTGTGATGCCCAAACTCCAAACAACACAATGTTGTTTATAAATAGAGTTGAAATTTCTGCTCACGCATACATTGGAAGGATCCAAAAATCAGGGAGAGACCGTCCCAACTTATTATACGGCCAAATGGAATAAACAAAAGACCTGCCAAGGGTTAGAGATCTAAAAAGACGTCCAAACCTCAAATTAGTGACTTAGAGGACGAACCTGTTGTTTATTACTCTCCAAATACTCACGAATGGGTCTGTAAGCAGCAGCAACCGCCAGGTTCTGCAACCATAACGAAAACATGAGCTTCCCAAATTTAAAGAAAATCATATATATATATATATATGAAAGTAAAGATCTAGCACCTATACAAGGTAAACCGCTATTTTCATAACAAACTCACTTTCAAATCACTGCCAGAGTAACCATGTGTTATTCGAGCAAGTTCCTCAAAGCTAAATCCCTCTGCTAATTCCTCCTGAGCGAGAATAACATGCAGAATCTTTATTCGATTCTCATAGTTGGGTAAATCCACGAGTATCCTGTCGAAAACAAAAATCACCAGCATTATATATTATAGAACGTTTTATATATAGAATGTAAGAAAGAATACACTCTTCTATGACACCCAAAACCATCGTATCATGAAAACAACGCTAGATTTGGAATCTGGCTACCCGCAAAGTTCCTGCACATATACATCCAAATATTCAATATACCTCCTCGGCAACCTCCGAATGACTGCATCATCAAGGTCATAGGGTCTGTTTGTGGCAGCAAGAACAAGTACTCGCTCACTCTCTTTGGACTTCAATCCGTCCCAGGCAGCCATAAACTCATTGCGAGTTTTCCGGGTGGCTTCATGCTCAGAGCTCCCACCACGAGCACCCAACAAGCTATCCACCTGGATGAGATTTTTGTCAGATGTCTAGATTTCATTAACAGAATAACTATCAACCACTTTCAACTATGAAAAACCTTGAAAAAGGTGAGCGAGTCAAATATAATAAACATAAGATCTACGACCTAAGATAAAAATATATAAAAATAAACAATCAATAAATGATATTCAAGATTAGACAACTTAAATTGAACAAAGAAACCAGCTCGAATTTTAGAAAGAATCATACTTTAGCAACATAATTTATTCACAAGTCATAAATTCCACATCCCAAACAGTTGTACGACACACAACATCAAGAAAGACAGATCGACCTCGTCCACAAATATCACCGCTGGAGAGAGTTTCCTTGCTAGTGAAAACAATGCTTTAGTCAACTTCTCCGCGTCTCCAAACCACTGTGTAACAGAAAGTAAAAAAACTCAGATTACGAGATTTTAGCATACATACAGATCAAAAGATGTTTCCTAGACAAGTGGCTGCAGCGTACTCACCAAGTTGTTCAGCCAATATAAATTACTATTATGTAGCCATGAAGTGGGACCTTCACAAAGGTTGAGAATTGTGCACAAATACTGAGTAATTAACAAAGAAATGGTATCTCAATGAATCATTGCATAACTGTTAAAAAGAAAGTAGAGCCGTCAGCTTGGCCAAGCACACAGGTGATGATGCAGAGGGAACAAGCCGTCAAGAAAAAAAATTGTAAAACACGAGCATACCTTTGATGTGATTGTCGATCCAGTAATGTTAATGAAATTTGCGCCTGCCTCAGTGGCCACTGCTTTTGCAAGAAGAGTTTTGCCTAAAAGAAACAAATATACACGTGCAAGGTAATTACTACGTGATCAGGTTTGGAACTTTCCCAGATACAATTTTTGTTGCCTTAAGTTATCTTCCTTAAGCTAGAACTTGGTTGCAAATTAGAATATAATGAGCAAAAAACTACACGAGTTCATTCTACAATGCTCATGGTCATAATACTACATAAGCAATAACTGTTAGATCAGAAACGCAAGGCCACAATTTGGGGTTGTGTCTATATTTAAATTTTAAAAATGAGCGAATCTCTCAATCTTCTCTTCCTAAAATATTACAATCTTCTGCTAGTGACCTCTTAAATTTCCATTAGGAGGAAAATTGTACAGATGCAAATACTTGCATACCATTGTATGCTTGACAACTACTACAAACACTTTATGTGTGGAAAAACAGAACAGTGTCGACAGAGTCAAGATACCTGTGCCAGGAGGTCCAAACAGCAACACTCCTTTGCAAGGCTGTTCAAAGATATAAAATAAATTGTAAGCCACTATTTCACTATGCACATGAATTTCGCACTAGGATACATTAATTAAAATCAAATCGTAAAAAAAAAAGCACGAGCTAAGTCAGAATACTGATAATATTTCAGGAGGTCATGCACAACTTCATGCTACACGTAGAACTAACAGAACAGATGAGAAAGCTTTAAATGCAAAGGGATCGGACGCCATTACCTTTGTCAAGTTGCCTTTCAAGAAGAGCTCAGGGCGCTGCAAGGGAAGCATCACAAGCTCCCTCAAAGCATCCTTTACATTCTCTAACGCTCCAACGTCATCAAATTTTACCCCCACTTCCTCTGGAGGGATGACGGCTGACAGAAGAGCCTTTTCATATTCATCCTCTGCCAGTGCCTGCACTACATCAAGTCCTTTTCAGCATCCAAATGCAATTTCTTGGTCACTAACTAAGTCCACAGAAACACAAGCCTCAAGCCACACCAAGTTGCTAAGCTTCCACTAAATAAGGCAAACCTTGTAGTCCACAAAATTAGCAGAATTTCTATTCTCTTGCTCACGTAATCTTGTGATTGCCCGCTCCACACTGTAGAATGAAAATCTTACACAAATTAGATATGAGAAAAGTAGATGCACAAAAAACTTGCAAGGCAGCGATTGTTTTTGAACTTGACAACAAGCAGAGAAGCAGCAGAGGACTCAAACTAAAAAATTTTAAAAAAAATTAAAAAAAAAAAAAAAAAAAAAAAAAAAAACATAATTCAAATAACATTCTTATCGACTCATGAAAAATAGACAACCTAGTAGCTTGGATCATCAGCTTCCCATCAACAAGCAATGGTTCAAAGAGACAAAGCCCTAGGTGATGATTTCTTGCCCATCCAACAACCCTTTCCGCTTCTGTACACACAGATCAAAAAACCCTCAGTGTTGTTAGGTTCAACTATGGAAACCATATTGCAAATAAACGGATATGCAGATGCCGCCCTAGAGAAGTTTTTAAAAATCCTCGAAACTGGACATCCCGACCCGAGAGTGAGAACAAAATCGCGGACATAGACAATATGAAAGCATATTGATAAAGATGATCACTTCATGTTTATTAAAAACACATCTAAGGAACTAAAGCCCACACAAGCAACGCCAAAAAAAGATGCAGAGCACTAGGACAAGGACTAAGAGATTAATTTCTCCATTCAAGATAACGCGGCAAACAATCAATGCAATTATTCAAAGTCAAGTTCAACACGATAGGACGACCACAAATGCACGACCATCAGATGAAACGTGAAAAGTGACAATTGAGACTGACTGAGAATTGAAGAGAAAAGTAACGAAGGACCCATACTAGAATCGGTAAGATTCAAGCCGAATGAGTCGATGCTAGAGAGCTCAGGGCACTCCATATTATGAAGCTCCAAAACCTGACAATATTATCAGGTTGTTAATACGCATTGCGATAATCAGTAAGAGCACTGCAAAAGTATGCACGCTTGAACGAAATCTTTCACGGGTGTATAGGCTTGCTTATGTACCGAGGGACTTTCATTATAGGATAACCCAATACCTTAAAGCAGTACCTACCACAACATAAATAAGTACCTTGTGCAACTTCTGGATATTTCGTTTAGCATTGCAAAGTTCCTTGTCGTGGTTCAATCGCTTTTTCCAGTCTCGCAGCTGTTGCTCGTTCTGTTCATTAGTCAACAACAAATAAGTTCATGCCATTTCATAATATATCAATCAAATTAATATACATCAGAACATAAAGCAACAATTCGAACGTCCAAAATTATGAACTTCAAGGCAACCTAACCTACTCGCCTTGATTACCAAGTCAAATGGCTACCTGAGGCGCAGATATCTTGATGGTATTCAAAAACAACTCGTAAATATCCATAGCAATTACTTCCTCCACGGTCCATTTCGTTGCTGGAGACTTCACATTCTATGAGAACAACCACACAATCATATTGTGTATGAGTAACCTCAAAACTACAGCATCCAAAAAGACTTATATAATATAATATTCTACCAGAGAGAACACGATAGTGGATCGATGTCATACCAATCTGGCGCGTATTCCTTCCAAATGTGCCTTCTGACATGATAATAAACCACATCATGTTTATAGCATTTCATATGGTTAGTACGTAATCTTGGGAATACAAAGAGCATGGTTATTCAAAAAATTACAATAGATTCTATAAAATAGAATCGAATAGATTGTCAATTTAAAAAGAAAAAGAAGCCACACACAGGACACTCTCGTCTCTAGCATGGTCCTTGCGAGAATTCCATGCACGTCTACAAAAATTATAGTAACATAAGAAGAAACTTACCAGCCTGTTTTTGTCATCGTAATCTACCTCTTCTTCATTTATACGACTAGCAATGAGTACAATAGGACCCTCAAGTTGGTCAAGTTTTGCTTCGACCCGTTCAAGAAACTCCTTTCTTTGGCTTGAAGGTACAGCCCTTTCAAACCATTGTTTAGGGTCAGGGAAATAAACAATAAGTGGTCTTGCGGATGGAGACAACTGCAGGTCCCACGAAAAACATAGAATTAACACAACTGGCATCCTGGAAACTCCACCAACTCCAATAATTGTGTGACCCGCATCTAAAAAGATAGCCACCTAGGCAGAAGAACGCATTACCTCACAAAGAGCCTCCACTGAGGCAAGGCAATCCTCTATCTCCTCGGATTGAGGACTCTCGTCAGGTTCAAGTTCTGACACTAGAAAACGGTAGGCACAATAACACCATCACCAGCAAGTTAATCACCAGCAGGAACCTACTAGAAGCTGATATTATTCCCTCAATAAAATAATTTTTAGAGATGCAAGAAGAAAAACTAAACGTTGACGTTGTACTTACGATCACACCAGTCGACTAGTGGAGTGGCCCTGAGAACCTCCTCAAGCTTCTTATTTGTTTTCAAAGACTCTTCGCTCCTTCGATCAGAAGATTCAAATTGCACGCCTACTTTACCTGTATGACCCTTTGGTACCGACACTATGCGCCCTTTTTGACCCACCTTTAACACCTGCCTGCCCAGCGGACATTACCCATTAGAACTGGAGTTCAGTTTGCAAGGGCACGATTTGTGAACTGATAGAAACTGCTAAATGTTGACGGATACGATGCAGAGGGAATTAGTATATGATTTCAACTACATCAGGACTTAACGAAAAACCATAGTGCTCCTCTCAATACCTACCTACGCCTTGCTCGGCTACATTCTCCAATACTACCGCAAGTATATGAAAGATTGAGACTTCGACATGGTTTACAAGACAAGTTAATGCGTAAATGACAAAGTGATAAAAAGAACATGAATAGCACTGACCAACAAGGATGATACTTAAAACACTAGTTCGACGTAAAAATCAAAATTTTGCGGGTGATAGCAGGATAACTAAGTATTCGAGTTAGTTGAATGGCCTCACCTTGCTTGCTCAATCTTGCCAAGCCTGTCACTGCTGCCAACATACTTAACCCGATCACCTTGCGACAACACAAAAAAGTGTCAAATGGCCTACGAAAATAAATGGGGCAAGATTTGATCCTAAGCCTGAACAACAAGAAACGTAAAAGTACACATAACAAGTATCCATCCAACACAAGCAGTTCATCGATGGCGTTTGTTGTTTTACCTTTCCTAAGTCTAAAACTGAAGTCGTGACCATCATCTTCATGCCCAGCATCCCTCCGTTCCTTTCTTTCCTATAAAAAAAAATATATATATAGTTAAGTTAAAATACAAGAACATAAATCTACTATTCTCCAATATCCAATTTCTATATTAACGACAGACACTACACCCTAATCCGGTGTCGTACATGCCAGCATCAAATCTTGATTCTTCCTGGGGCTTCACAACCATTCAGAAAAAACTCCGTACTATGATATTACCTGCAACAGAAGCTTTTGCTTATACTCTTCTACACTATCAGCAGCAAACTCCAACAAAGCATCGACCTTAAATTCCCTATTTCTGGAACCCTCATTTTCATTATCTTGTTCTTCAGAAACATCTTGCGTGTTGCCATCAGTGGCAGACCATCCCTCAACATGCTCAGCCTCCGAATCCGAAAATTCCTCGTCTGATTCTGAAGAAAACTCCTGATCCCCATAGTCCTGCATCATGCATCACCAAAAGTCAAACCCGCTCCAGAGCTTAAAGAGGGCTTGGCTCATAAAAAGAAAAAGTCTTCCTAATGTCGTCTGACTCACAAAAAGTAGAGCGCGTATAATGGGGAATCCATTAGTGTAGTAAACCATGAGCAACAACCATGAACTGCAATTTGAAGATAGACGAGAAAGACAATCGCTCACATGTGGAGAAAGGACTGTGCTGTCCAGAACAAGCAATGAAGCCTTCAGATGCTTGGCGACTGCCTCCACCAATTTCTCCTGGTACAATTCGCTCCCTAGTGAAATTGAACAACGTCATAGACCATCAGGCAGCTCATCCCAAGTGGTAGTGTCATACTACACACTCCATATTAATTATACGCAGTTACGGGACATTTGTTCCAGCAAAGTATCAGAGACATCAGAGCAGCATTTTGTGCATTTGTTACAACCTAATGTAACCACAATAAGTAACAATTATGCTCGTAAAAAAATAAAATGAAGACTCCAATGAGACGGCGGCAGCATCTACCTGCTGGTCCACGAAGGCATATTCGTCGGCTTGAGGCAGGCAGGCCCAATCCATAAGAAGCATACTTGGGCTGCCACAAATGAGAGGCCACGCAATCCACCAAGGTATCTTTTGTATCGTCACTGCCAGTAAAGTTTCCCAGTGAATTCACACAAAATACGCACCCTCAGCCAAGACAACTGATGATTGACGGACATTAAGACTTCCAACAAGAGTAACAGTTTGCAACGGAGGAAATCAAAGATTATTGCAAAATAATGCAATTCGCAGCTACGTCTAGTCTTACAATACTCACTGTTGCAATAGTGCAAGATCGGTCAGCACATAGCTACTTTTTATTCCCTTAAATAATAATAATAATAATAATAATAAATAATAATAATAAATAATAATAATAATAATGACGTCGAAAAAATCTGAAACCAAAATTCGAGCGACTCTAACAATCTTTCCGAATTCCATTCACATGATCGTCAACAGCTTCAAAATGTGCGCTCTATATGAATCACAATCACAAACTCAGCCAACTAGCACGATTTCAAAAGCAATAACTAATCTTCTGCCTCTACAAGCCCGACCCTGAGAATTTTAAGCACAGCAAAAACAAATACAGAAGTCTCTCACACCCGTGAAACACCTTAGCCACGTTTGAACCCTATTGTTTAGCTGCCTCCACAATTTAGGTCCTCCTCATCGAAATTCTGAGTTCTTAGAAAAGCAGTAACTACGCACCTGATGATGATGTCCTCTAAAAGACAACCAAAAACAAGTGCAATACGTGTGCTCATGTAAAGCTATAACAGCACTTTCCAGGAGTCGTCTCTCATGCAAATTGTCTGCCCTTAAATGATAACATTAATGGTAATGCAGCCGAGGATCGAGGTAGATTGACGAACAGTCCAGGGATGATTTAAGCCTAGTCCACTATGATTCTCATACTTGAACTACAATTCAGCTGAATAATTAAGGTAAATCTTAATACGTTAGATTTAACAAATAGATACAATCTTCAATAATAACAGAAAACCTCTCTTTAAACTTGGGATTACACACCCTTAAAATATTAAACACCAGACTCTTGCGCTGGTCCAAACCTAATCGCAAACTGCACTATTAGCTATAAGGCCACTTGCGCGGACTCTGTCACAAACCCTTGACGTCCCTCAAGAAAGTGCTAATAAATTATAAGCAACTTTAGTAGTACGAATTCTTTTAAAGCATGCGCACAGTCTGATTAAGCTCTTGAAGTTCAAGAAAACCAAGTTTTCAGCAGAAAACAAATCAAAATGCAATAATAAGCTTCAGTATTGAGAACACTCAGCTGTGACAATACAAAAAACAGTACCTTAAATAATAAGGAAATGACTCTAAAAAGCCAGGAATATCTTGCCAATCGACAACTCGTTTCTGAAATGCCTCCGTAAACTTGGTTCTGAGTGACTGGAAAGCGGAATCCACATTCTTGTCGACTTGGCACCTGTGAGAAGAGGGCGATGAGGTGGAAGGCTCGTCGGTGGTGTTATCCTCGGCAGTGCAATCAGCCAACGGAGCAACAACGGAGCATGCCAAATGGTTGTGGTTGTTATCAGCAGCACCAGCGTCGCCAGGATTAAAATGGGTAGAGACAAGGCGAACATGAGGGAACCGGGAATGATAGCGCAGAAGAAAATTGGAGGGATGGGAGGGCAAGTGCGGGAAGCGAGAATGAGGAGGAGGAGGAGGAGGAGGAGGAAGCGAATGTAGAGGAGAAAGGGAATTCCGGGAGAAGCGCGAGGAGAGGGATAGGCAGCGGTGGACGTAGAAGAGCAGACGAGGGGAGAGACGCTGGTGCTTCAAGGAGCACGTGAAAACTCCCATGGCTCAATGACTCTAACACCTCGTTAAGTCGATACCACCGACTTGAAATTGATCTTCTCAAAGCCCGAATTTCCAATCTCAGCCCTAAAACTCCAGCTCTGTCTTGTAAGTAAACAGCAAGCAATACTTCATCCCAGAGCTTCAAAACAGCTCTAATAAACGATTCGAACACTACACAGACATTAATTCAGCATTCTAATACAGTAACATTTCCTCGTTTAGTCGCACATTTAACGAATCATCAGGAGTGATAAAAACACCGAATTAAAATAAAAATAAAAATAAAAAACACACACACATAAAACATAAAAAAAAATTATATATATATATATATATATGAGTAGAGACTACGATATATATATATATATATATATATATATATGAGTAGAGACTACGATATTTTACAGCAAAGAAGTCAGTCCGATCAAAATCCAAAGCAACGACAGAAGCGAAGCGAAATCCGGCACAGCGGGCATAGAAATGTAGGGCGTTACTTTGAGCTGCCGATTGAGCAAGAACAGCAACACCGAAATCGAAGGCACAGCAATGAGAAAGTGTGAGCGGTGAAGGAGGGAACACACTGCTGAAACCCTGTCCCCCTGTTGAGAACCTACGATGTTCGTTGTCACGTCTTCCCCCCTAATTCCCAGAGTCCGTTTCCTCTCCGCTATAATTTGTCGTTATGCGCTCATGGAATTTTCCCGCAACGAGAGTGCTCCTTCTGCTGCTGCTGCTAGAGCTGATGAACTCACGATTCATCCCGCAACAAAGCGACGGTAGACGCCTGGGAAGAAGGCAAGCATCGGAGGGTGGCACCGACCGGGCGGAACGGGGCGGTGTAACAGAGCCATCGAAGCAAAGGAGTCCTCCTACTTGTTTCCATACATCCTCTCATTCCTTCAAACCCTAGCGCCGCCTATAGTCCCCCTCTAGTGAACTCTCCAGGCGCCTGCAAAGTTTGCTCGACAACTTGTAACAAATCTTTGGGAATAACCCACTTGGTGAACTGATTTAGAACTTCCATATTTCATGTTCTAATTCTGGGCGCACATGATTTGAACATTTGATATAATTTATGAAGTAAAAATTCATGTTCACATTTAAGTGTTAACATAGTTAATGAATATATGTTTTTAAGATAGTGACATAATATTGGTTTCATGTTTTGTATTATGATATCAAGTTTGCAAATTAATATTAATTTACTTTGTCTTTATTATAAATTATTTTATTCTTTGTTCAATTGAATTTTGTCATTTTTATTTTTACTTCTCTCATTTTAATACAATTAAACTTAGTTAAACAAATTATTCCAATGTTTATTATCAACATTATCAACAAGTTGCTAAAACTTAAATAAAATACATACTTTATTTTTATATTTTGTTTATTTTTATTTTAATTAACACTCATTAATATTACAATCACCAACTATTTTTTAATCTACTTAAATTTATTAAGTTGTGAAAAAAAATCTTTTTCTATAAAGATTTGATACAACAAGAGAGTATATACTAAAAGTTATTTATACAGTATGGTTGAAATTAAAGGTGAAAAAAAATGCCCATGATGTCTTCTTAAAATATTATTATTATAAAACATATAGCAAAAAAATAATTTGGTTGTTCAAACATGTATCTAATGTATGATGGAAAAACTTCTACTTGTATAGTGGTTAAAAAATATATATATTTGTATAGGTAGATTTAAAAAAATAAAAAAATAAAAAAATAAAAAATAGTACCAATTTAATAAGAAGTTTCATATGGTCTTTAATAGATATATTTCTAAGTCAATGTTGGTTAAATTGTAATGACTCTTGTACAAACAGATCCAAGCTCATTGTAATATATTGAACAATGTAAAATTTACTACATTGATTTGTTTTTACTTTAAACATATAGTATTACAATGATGTTTAATTCCAGACTTAATTTTTGTGTTTTTAATGCTTACACATAGTTTACAAGAATATGTATCAATACTCCTAAATATCAAAAATAAAATGCATAACCTATTTTAGATATATAAGGCACTAATACTAGTCAATGCATTCATTAAACAATACAACATTTATTAATCTTTGTAAATTGTAAATAAAGAATTGCAACTTAATAAAACATATATGCTTAATGTCATATTTGCAACCATATAACATATTTTAACCTATCTTTTGAGTATAATATTTTGGGTTTAATATCAAAATTAAAGATTCATAATTATTCAACATAAACTATAAGATTAAGTACTATTTTTTTCCAACAATATGAATAATGAACATGGAACAACGTTGTCGTGTTGTAACACGAGTATACAGTGAAAATAAAAAGAAAGGGGAATTTTATTAATATTCAGTTACCTCGAATATTGGGAGCATCAACCAACTCCAGTACAAATACTGAGTAGTCAGGTTCAGTCACTCCGTTACAGTCAGCCGGGGCATACTGAAATGCTCCATTCGATTCCAATAACGGGAGTCAGCAGGAAGAGAAGGACCAATTCACACGACGGGTTCGAGGAGCCAATTGGATCCAATTTCGATAATCCAATCCGGGTCCTCTTATCTAATATGAGACCTGAATTGGCCGGTCAACCCAATGCAGTCTAATTACGGGAAATCCAGGTCTTACTACGGGTCTTAGCCAATCTGACGCGAGGACCAATTTGACCCAATTACGGGAATATCCAGGTTACTACGGGCATCTTTCCCAATATAGGACCTGAATTGGTCGGGCGACTCAATGTGGTCCCGATTACGGGGTTCGATTCTGTTTCAGGCTGTCCTGTTCTCTGTGCCGTTTCAGGGAACGTTGTTTTCGGTAAATGGATTTCTTAAAGGTAAAAACGGAGGAGAAAGCTTGACGGCGAGAGCCAATTTCGGATCCAAGCTTGAGGTGGGAGCCAATTCCGGATCTAAGACGGAAGATTGAAGAAATTCAGAGGATAAGGTTAGGGGGGGATATAGTTTTGAGGGGGGAGGTTTTTTTTTCGGGGGAATCGGGGGGGGAGCGAGTTTTTAAGCTTTTGCAAGGTTACCAGTTCGGTTTTTCATTGGAGGTTTTTGGAAGATCAAGGGAATTAGAGAGAGGAGCTTCATGCTTTGGGTCGGGGAAGGAAAGACATAGAATTTGGATTTTTCTTCTTCGTAGAGTTTTGGGAAGACTGAGGCAATCGCTGCTGAAGTCAGTGTTGTAATGGTGAATCGGGATTTTTAAATGAAGTGGGTTTGAATACTCTTGACTGTTTTGTAAAATCGAGTTACGTCTGTGATTGAAGGATTAAAGGGGTGTCTATAGGATTGAGTATGCGGAGTGAATGAAATTTATTGGGTTAATCTAACAGGACAGTCAGTGGATACAAGATTGTAAGTACAAAGGGGTATTGAAGATTAATAGTTTGGGTTGTTTGCAGTTCTCTATAACGTCTAGAGACCTATCGGCTGGAAAAAAAAAAAAAAAAAAAAAAAAAAAAAAAAGACTTCGACAAGCAGTCGAAGAGCATCCGTATAGATTTACGGTACATTGTTGCAGTCGTTTATATTCCAGCAGCCAAAAACTGATAGACTGCTTGACTATCGGCAAATCTCCATACTACCTTCTACAGCCAGACGCCCGGCGCGTTCTCGAGCAGGAAAGCACGTAATACGACAACGTGCTTGAGAAGTTGAATACAAATTATTACTCTTAGCAATAAGATTATTAAGAGTCATTCAACATTTAATCATACTTTTACTTGTCTTGTACAATAAGTACACATTCATCTATAATTAAATACATTTATTCAAATATTATTGATAACTAAATTATTTGATTAATTTTTTCTGTAGCTATATTATTAATTATTAATTCATGATGGAGCAACTAAGAACACGATAAATGCCAATAGTTCTCTTTGAATATCAAAAGAAAGACATAAAAATGGTGTTTTACCAACATAACTTTTATCTTGTTTACACCCTTTTGAATTTTACAAGTTTGTCAATATTTGAGGAATTCTTCAAAATTTCCTACACACCTTGCTATTATTTACTTAAAATTATTAATGATAGCTAAAATATTAATTACTATAATCCTTAAGAAGCCAAGACACACAACACAGGATTTTCTTTGAGTGAAGTATTTACATACTACATCTTTATATTAGATGAAACTTTCATTTAAAAATAAAATTGGAACTTCACAAGAACATCTAATAAATAAGACTAGCACTATTGCTTTTCTATTCATAAACTTTTGAGAGTCATATGTGCATTTTTTCATAATCAATGAGTCAAAAATTAGAAAGAAAAAAAGAAAAAAAATTCAAGCTTAGTTCAACAAATCTTATATATATATAAAAAAAAAAAAAAAAAAAAAAAAAAATGTTCTTTACAAAATATTATACATGAATAAAGACTAGCTTGCAATACCTACTTCAATTATAGAAATGCACACATTTTCTACTTCCAAAAATAAATTATTTTTGTTAACATATAATGTTGTACAAAATTGTTAAGTATTATATCCATCATTGGAAAAATGGATCATCTCTAGAAACCATTATTATAGTCATGGCCCTCATCTTGACCCCCTCATTCCTAGTTCACACTTCTTCCATTTCTAGCCTTCTTCATTCCTAAATCCCCTTATTCCCCACAATAGGGTGGGTTATTTTAACATGTATACATATATACATACAAATTAGAAAAAAAATAAAATAAAATGAAATCTAAGTTTTTTATTATTTATATTTCTTCATAAATACATATTTTATTTTTAAATCATGTCTTGGTGATTATTCATATTGTGTCACAATATGAATAACCTTAAATAATATTATACATATTTTTATTTTGATACTTTCACAAAAATAAAAATAAACATTGATAAAAGTATATTTAAATTGCTTTTCATCTTTGATTTAAAAATAATTTTACTAAAACATTATTGGCGCATGCCCATGCCTCAAGTATACATAAATATTTTTAATCTGGTAATATAAAAAAGAACAACAAAATAAGACTACATTATTAGATAAATACATAATTAAATAGTCGCATTAAGAACAATTTGCGTTAAGGAATCAATGTAAAATTTGTCGTGAAATTATGCACCCAAACGAAAGAGACACAATTTTTTTTGTACAACGGGATTTCAAAATTTTCTTGTGTACTAGAATTGAGTGGAATCCAGTCTCACACTCAATTAACTTTCTTTATTCGAATTAAGTGAGTTAACCATGATTAGAGGCACGTGGCTGGCATTGTTTCCAAGGCCACAATTGTCAGGTCTCCGCTTCGCAACAACGACGATGGCGATGGCGATGGCGATGCCAACCAACGCTGGGGTCGGCGCAGGATCCCCCCTCCTCACCGACTTGCCGTCGTGTGGGCTTGGATTGAGCGTTCGACCAACCGAGGTGCATTGAAACGACGGTGTGACGATGAATTCTGGTGATTTCGCAGAAGGATTGACATCGGACGAAGATTTAGAACCGTGAGGTCGGAAACCAATGTGTTGGCCAATTGCACTGAGGTTCGAATCGACGAATCTCGGGTAGCTACAAAATCCGCGGCGAAAGAAGTGCTTGTAATTCGCGCTCTTGAAACGAAGGGATTGATCACCCACACGAGCGTGTTTTTTCGAAGTCGTTTGACAGAAACGTTGTTGACGTAGTACATGACTTGGGCTACGCTCTTGGTTCTACAGTCTGATTTTCCAGTATTGTATGCTCTATTTGCAGGGACTTGAGTGTGGAAGATTTGATTGATGAAAGTTCCCGAAGTGGGCTGAAAATTTCACCATATCATACACAGCGTTGCAATCTCTTGCATTTTTTCCTTGGAATAACTTCTTGACACGGGATTGCAAGCTAAGCCTCGTTTTGCCAGAGGCTCACTTCGAGCCGAATTTCTCAATTCTGCAAACTAGTTGCTACGTTTCAATTTTAGTCAGCTACGCTCTGGCGTTTGCCAACTTCATGTTCGATGACTTGCTATGGAGTTAATCCACTTTGAACGAGTTTTCTAGTTCATAGGTCGGCGAAGCTTGCACTTGCACTGATTTCATTACCCTTGAATATACTTCACTTACTTAAGCCTTGTGAAGAAGTGTTACCTATGGTTCTGATTGCTATGTATACATCTTCTTACACAACATTCAGATCGATCCATTTTCAAATGGAGTTAAAGCAGAATATTAAAGCAATGTTCCCGATTTAGGACAAGCTTTCTTTTCTCGGGGACTACAACGCACCGTTAAATCGAAATTATGTCGATTGGAGCTGGGAACGGTGACTTTCAACGCTGAAATAAGAGTGTAGGGAATGATGAAAATAGGCGTTGGCGCCGCAAGTTGGGGAGAGACCCAATAGTCGGACGTCAGTGAGAATATTTCGAAACAAATAAAGGAACTAAACATAAGAAAAGAGGCGCGAGGTGGCGCTCTCACAACTGAGACGCCAACATCCGAGGCTCTGAGGAGCAGGAGGAGTGAGTTGTCTTGGAATCCTGAGTGTGGCTGTCGTTGTGATTATTCCTCCGTGAGCACCATCGGAGCCAAGTTTTGAATGATTTTAGTAAGCGTTTGATTGACCTTTCGTGGCATGCGAGGTGGCTCATTGTATCGAGGTGGAATGGTGATGCGATTGGAGGGCGAGTGTTGCGTTTACGCGCGTTTGGAATTAGGGGTTCGATTGGATTGTAATTCGTGTTAGTGGAAAGAATGGGACAGATCCAATGTTGCGATAGTTCAATTCGTCTGCTAGACATGATGAGATCGAGGGTTGCCCCCTCATCGCCTTGCTAACTAAGGTGTAGGGAATCCGCTGCAATTGTTCAAATGCAATGTTGATAGAGTACTGTCCTGAATGTCATTATTGTCCGCATCACTACATGTTGCAGTAAATTGTTTTAATCCTCTGTGCAATTCATAGTCAGGAATTCGTGTCAGAGTGGCACACCTGCATATTGTAGTTGTCAGCGATTATCCACTCTGCTCTTTCGAATTTCAATGGGCTCTAAAGTCTAAAATTGTTATCTAGCATGTTAGCTTAAACCTCATAATAGCAACGTGGAGATTCGCTGATGATTAAATGAAGATGCAAGTTTCGAACATGTTTGATTACTTAATTGGTATATCGTCGGAGGATTAGCATGCAGAATGAGCACGGAAAATTGAGGAGAAATCCTAGGTCAAGTCGGTGTACATCACGTACATATTGTTATACAGGATAATGAGTATCTGATTCGCCCCTTCTGATGCAGATTTTGGTGGCACAAGGATCTTCATCTTCCACATGAGAAACTGCGTTCGTTGGGCAACCCAGGTGCTGTAGCCCCTCGGTCCTATCAGGGGCAAAATGTCTTGCCAGGGGTTCCTCCAGTGCATCCTTAAGTCCATCAACTTCTTGGTGACTCTCGTTGGGACATTCATGATAATCTACTCCCTGTGGATGCTGAGAGAATGGAGCTCTGTCGCGGGTCATGAACCACGATCGTCTTCTTTTGCTCTTGTTTTATCAAGTGGTATTCCTGCTTTGTCCAGCTGGGGCTTTAGTTTGCCTGCTGAACTGCGCAATCGTGAAGGAGCTATTACAGAGAACCTTGCAAGATCACTCTTGAAGGACAACTTACAGCTGCCAAACCTCCCTGCTCCTTGGTACGTTATATATTTACTGTCTTACTGAGCAATGTGACCATGCACGTAATTCCTGAGATGAATTTGAAGATGATTTTGCCAAGTTGGGAAAAAAGAGGTGCACTCATTTTGAGAAGTGGCTGCTGCAGGTTCATCTACGTGTTCTTATGTGCCGGGGCGATCACATGCTTTGTCTCCCTGACTGGCCATGTTGCAGCGGAGTTAAAAAACAGCTTCTGTCTTTCTTGTGTATCCTACATTGAAGTTCATTATAAAATATTTTGATGGGAAAAAACGAATTAATACAATTAGTAACGTGTGAGTAGAGTCCATCAGTTCATTCACAAGGTCAGATACATTTGGAACATGCTTGGAAATTCTCCTTAATGGAAAAAAAATAGTACAGTGTACTTCAAGTTGTGCTCATATTGGCACAATTCGCAGTGATTGCGGCTCTTTTTTTTGACCGACATTGGCGAGATGTAAGTTCCTCTTCCTGACTTCAATTATCTAGAACAGGATCTTCGCTAGTTGCTTTCTTGGTTGGGTCCTCAGGGTTATTTGTTGCTGTCCTTGAGTGTCGTTTGTGAAAGTTTCGAATTCAGCGAGATTCTCGAATACAAATGCTTGAATTTTGTCCAACTCACCAGTAGGATCATCTTGTATATGTCCGCTGTGGTGTCTTGTCAAGGAGTATTTGGGAATGGATAGAAGATTACTTAGATTGCTTGAGGCTCAGTCTCATGAATTTTTCTGTTGTGCGTCTAATTCACCTATTTTCTTCCCTTAAAATCATGCATGTTTTGCCCCATTAGTGTGCTTTCACTTAATCAGCTGAGTCCTCGTTTTTTTATTTATTTTTTATTTTTTATATCTGCCAACATAACTTGAAAAAACATTTTTGCAATGATCTTACACATTGACGAATGCAGGTACTTGGAATATTTTTTGCATTTGTTCTCCGGGCTGTCACGGTAAGCGCACAAAGAGGCTATGATAGTGATGAAGACTACATAGCTGCCAGGTCAGCTGGCCGTCAGCCTGGAGGCAACCGGCAGGTAAATCAGGCCAACCCTGCTCCGGGTTCTGCCGCTGCAGTAGAAGCCCGAGCTCCCCGTCTCGATGCTTGGAGCACAAGGATGCGAGAGAAGGTACATTCTGTGCTTTGGCACAAAACTTTACTTAGCAGTTTATAACAACTTGGCAACTTCTGTTGACGTAAATCTATCTATCGTCATGTGATTTTCTGTTGCTTGTTTCAGGTTCCTGTCACAGATACTGGGCTATGTTCTTTTTTTTTTTTTTTTTTTTTTTTTTTAATTTTAAAATCCCGTGGAGTCTTTTGTGCTTCACTTGGATATGTTGGTGCCGAAAATTGAGCCCTGTGTTTTCGCAGTATGGCTTGGACACCAGTGAGTTCACATCTAAACCGTCTGAGTCGAGGAGACCCTTACAACCAAATCAGACACCTGGTCCAGTGGAGCAACAGAATTTTTGCACCATCATGTAGACCACGTCTACTTTGTCATCTTCCACTCTATTCTAGCTTTTAATTTGTACCTTTTACAAGGAAAATGGGCATACCTTTCACTCTCTACTTTTGAGCGTGAGTGATAGCCGCTCTACGGTGTTGGGAGTAGAAATTGCTAAAAATCTAAGATTTGAAATGGTGAACAAGATTGGATTCTCATGCAGATCATGGATACCTTGACTTCGTGATATTCTTAGCTTCCTATCTCTATCTCCAGTGTTGGTGGCTTTCAGACTCCTGACTGGTATAGAACAATGAAGTCTTGCACAGGCCAGCATAAATGGCCAGAAGTGGCTGTTATAGTGCACGTATTATATTAGTCCTATTGGGCAAATTGTTTCTCCTATATATTATAATATCATTCTTTGCAATAGCTAATGCATAATATGTTGACTGAAAAACAATCTCATTTCTCAGAGTACAAAGATACAAGTCTTAAGTACTACTTAGCTCTTCCATTTGCTGAGTTTAAGTACACCTTGAAAATCATTGTAATATATAAACTAAATAAGGAACCGTAAGTTTTAGTGCAACAAGTGTAGCTTTGAGTGTAGATTATTGGTTTACGTTATATTGTGCCATATCTGATAGGATGATTGATTGGTGTCATGTTATCACAAAGACATGGTGATTAATAAAGTGATGTAGTAGTGCATTTTATTCAATAGTCTTTCTTGTTTTCAAACTTCATTCTAAGCAAAATGTTAATGCACAATTTTTTTATGTTAAATCTTGATTGAATTTTGCAAACACAAGTTGATGACTTGAAGATACTAAGTATTTTCTTTATTGTAACTACTGTCATTAGTATTGAATTGTGTATAGAGTTTTTCTTCAATTTGAAAAATTAATATTAATATGATGAGAGGTTTTCTTCATAAGCATATGGATTTTTTTATTATACTTTCTTGTCTTTGTAACTTCATAATGGTTTGAATAATTATTTACTTGATTGAGTTTTTAAGAAGGCTCTTTGATCATGTGAATTGCAATCTATTTCCAACTCCCTCTAAAGCAAAACAAGTGCCAATATCTAGTTCTAATGTTTCTAAAATTGAATATAGTGGCACTTGATTTTGAAAGAATTAATTTGTTGACTCTAGCAAACTGTTTATTATAGATATACTAAGTTTAATCCATAAGTTTTAGATTTCAAGTACAATGTTATTCAAAATGATGTTTAAGATGACACTTCCACTACTCTAAGATTAGTTAGGATTAAATTTCTTTAATTTCAAATAGATAAATCTTTTGCATCCCAATGGCTTCTCTAAGTTTATAAAAGTTAGGATTTGAAGTAATTTTAATCAAGATATATGCTTCTTATTAAGAGATAGAAATGTAATATAATTAGATGTTTCTTGCTTTATCTTTTTTTCAAATAAATTGATACTGTCTCTCAATATGTTTTGTCCTTATATATAATATTGAGTTATAAACTAATTTGATTATTTTTTAAGATTTGAGTTAGTTCTTCTTCTACTATTTGTGATTAAGGCAATAAATATTGGAGGTATATTGTCTTGAAAGCATCATTAATCTATACTATATATATATATATATATATATATATTTATAGTGCTTAATATGACAATAAGTCAATATTTAGAATTCCAATCAATTCTTGCTTCTCTAATTTTATATATAATATTAAATAAAGATCTTTTAATATTCAAATATCTACTATAATTGGTATCTATAAAAAAATATACTATAATTATTTGTTTCTATTAAATACTTTAAACATCTTATGATTGAAATTAAATAAAATTCTTAAAGAGTTGTAATAATTTTTTTCACATATCCTATTATATAAAAATATAAATATTATATAGATTATATAATGAAGTAATATTTAATATAATTATTTATCAATAATTTTTTTTCTTATTTTAGTTTTTAACTTATTAGTTGAAAATATTTGAATAGATGTATGTTTGCATCTTTCTATACCAAATCTATAAAGTAATTATATAATATTTCTTTGATGAAGACAAATTTCTTGTTTTCAATACACAATTTTACTTACAAGATTTAATTTAGATTCTTCTAGCTTTATTGTTTTATGTGTATTGAGTAAATATTTAGTGATGTGATCATTTTTATTCTTTATCATTATATTATAATATATTTTTAATTTACTATTAAATAATATAAATATAAATTTCTTTTTATTAAACCATAAAATATTAAAAATGAATCAATTTACAAATACTAAGTTCTAATAACTTTCTTTAATTCTTATAGGACATGTATTAATTTTGTCAAGGATATAAATCAAAATAAGAAGAATCTTAAAACACTCTTGTATAACTCAAGAAGAATAAATATTCATTCTAAAAAGTAATATAGTATTAAGACTAGAATGACTATTTCCAAAGACAAGAAGAATATAGACTCTTAAAACTATACTAAGAACAAGAAATGTATTGAGAAGAGTAAAGAAGGCTTCACTCTTGCCTCTATATATACTATCTAATTAGCACTTATATGACAATATACTATAGGACCTCTGATATGTGTCCAAATTGCAAGACATATATCTTAACTTACAAGGAAAGTTTTGTACATGTACGCCATATAATTAACTTGTTCTACAAGCTTTTAAAACATGTCATATGTGGCCAACTTATTGACTAAATTTCTAATCTATAAACATGTATAAAGTCAAAGTCATATTTAGAATTTTTTTTTATAAATTATAAAATTAATGTATTTTTATTTATTTCCATATAATTACATAAGTAATTATTAGAGTAAATATGTATGTCCATGACATTATTTCCCTTTCTAGGAATGAATTCCACAAGAAGCGGTCATCATATATTGAAGAAATCCAAGATGCAGCAAATTATGTTTGCCACATACTCTTATCTTTGTTCTCTTTAAAGATGTTTGATAGGTCCTCTCAGCCATTAATAGTGTCTCATACTGGGGCGGAAAGACCACCTTGTTATTTGATCATTTTTGAAGCTTTCATAACTCCCTTCAAATAAAATATTTAAAATATTGTCAAGAGTCATTTCTACATCTAATAAAATCACCAAATATCAAAAGTATCTTCTAAGATCGTCATACCAAACACATTGTATCTTGCCATTTATTCAAGAAAGAACATGTTGTTCTTGAAGATCTTCATCTCGATTGTATCATTTTAAAGGTTGTAATAATCACAATGTCTCTTCTGATAAGTCAGCAAACAATAACTTTTGAGTTGAATTTGTTAGTTATTGGTTTTTCATATCTTTAGCACCACAAATATACAAAAACTACAAAGAAGGATAGAAGGTAGAATGTTATTTTCTTTGGATCTTATTTCTTTTATAACAAAGATTTATTATTCTTCATCTTAATTTTAATAAATATTATGAATGAAAAGCCTCAACCTTCTTTACTACATTTGCAAGATATTTTATTGGCTCCCATGTGCATTTATTAATACCATATCCATGCCAATGAAGAAGATATTCTAACCTATTTTGGCACTGCCTTGAATGTAAGACTCCTTTCATTTTAAACTCTTAATTATTATCCACTTCTATAAGATGAAATAGAATTTTTTTCTTCTTAATATATTTATTGTTTTATATGACTCAAAAAAAAATACGAGTTTGATCTTCATAGATTCTGATAGATATAATTGATAAGCAATAGAATTGACTTATTTAAAAATAAAAAATGGTCTAAGCCTATGATAATTGAATTCATTATAAGGGCAATTAGTCTTGATATTGTCACGAGATAACCATATTTTGTGACCATTATGGAACTGATGTTGTTCCTTAGAATAAACATCCATATTGGTCTTTTGTCATTCTTGAGCTTTTAATTGTATCTTTATTTTTATATGTATTTCAAATAAATAATTTTTTAAATCTTCTATTACAAGATTATCAACTATTGATAAGTCAAAAGCATCAAGTTATGGATAATAATTATAATTAGTAAAGAAAGGAATTTTTTACATTGAAGAATATATTGTATTATTATAAGTAAACTTTACCAATGGTAAAAGAATAGTCTAATCATCTTATTGATAGTTGATGGTAAATTTTAAATACTGCTTCAAAACTTCGTTTATATGCTTCATTTGTCCATTGGTTTGAAGATAAAAGATTAAAGATAACTTTATATCTACTTTTAAAATCTTAAAAAGACTTCTTCAAAATCTTGATACAAATTTAATTTTCTTATTTAATATAATATCTTTGGATAATCCATGATAACAATAGATATTGTCAAGAAAAAGCTTAATTTTTTTTTTTTTTTTTTTTTTTTTTTTTTAGTAATAGATTTTATATATGGTATAAAATTTTCTATCTTTATAAAGAAATCTACTATCATAAAAACTTAAAATTGAAATATTTATGATAAATTTTATAGAAATAGAAGACTATAGTTGTTTCAAAATAGATAATGATTGAAAAAATCCATAAGATTGATGATAAGGAGTTTTGAATTTTTAACAAATGTCTTTAACTGCCTATTGTATTTGATGCTACTAAAATTTTTTAGATATTAATTCCAAAGTCTTATAATATCTTACATATTTGATTATTAGAAAATTATGATGAGCTTGAAAAATACATAACTATGCTTTGTTTTTTGAAATGTATAATTGTACTTTGAAATAGAATAGATTATTTTTAAATTCAAACTTAGAAATATCATAAAACTTAAAAGAATTATTCTTGATATCATGAATAAAAAGATCAGAGGTTATACTTGATTGAGCTTGCTTGAGAAAAGTTGAATCAACAATCAATGTTGATTTCATTGCTTGAAGATAAAAATGCTTCAACTTTAAGATAATCATTTTTTGTTGATCAAAAGTTGTATTTTTTTTTTATGCAAGATAAGAATATTTAGAAAATATGTCTAATAAATCTTGTTGTTTTTTGAATTGATAAATTCTTTTGAAATCAAATTTTAATAAAAACATGCTCCAATAGACTTCATGACAATTCAAAATATATACTAATATGAAATAATTGAGATTCTTATGATCCATTATTATACTATAATTGCTTATAGTATATAAAAATTAATTAAAATATATAACATATTTATAAGTCTTGATATATATTAAAATAATTAATAGATTAATTTAAAAATAATTGATATAAGAAAATTTATTTTGAAGTTTATTTATTTTAAATATATTATTTAAATTATATAAGATTTATATATTTAGTATAAAATTTTAGAGAAGATAAGAGCTCAAAGATGAAAATTTAAATTACTAAAAAAGCTTATTTGGAAGGATGAAAGCAATGTATGAATGGATGTCACGGACATACTCATGTAAGCTAGTAATTACATATACAAATAGGTGGAAGTAAGTAAAAGTAGATAAAAGTAAGTTAATTCTATAGTATTTAATAT